TGTGTGTATGTGTGTGTGTATGTGTGTGTGTATGTGTGTGTATGTGTGTGTGTATGTGTGTGTATGTGTGTGTATGTGTGTGTATGTGTGTGTGTGTATGCGTTTGTGGAAGGCGGGGGGGAAGCCGGGGTTTTGATGCCGGGCTGTCAGGCAGCCCGTAAGGAACCATAACAGAACTTCTCAGACCCCCCCCCGGAGCTGCTGCCCTTGAATGCCGACCCTGGTGTGTTCCGTTCCCCTTTCCCCCCCCCCCACACACACAACACCCCTCACAACACCCCACCACCTCCACCCCCACACACTCCCCAGGTAGTGACGAGGCCGTACCCCTACCCGAGTCCTCTCTGCCGCTCACCCTGCCCGACACGGACCGCTTCAAACCCTCCGGCACGCCGGAGTCCCCCCTCGCTGCCATACCCTCGTGGGTGAACACGGTGGACCCACGGGACGGTGTAACGCCCGCGAGGAGGGAGACGTCCACTATGCCGCAGTGGGCGGGGTCGTGCTGGTGAGGTCGTGCTGGTGGGGTTGGAATTGGGTTTGGGTTGGGATTGGTTGGATTTTGGTGGGTTTTGCGGGGTGAGGGGATTACGCCATGTAGAACTGGGGTAGGCGGGTGGGTGGGTGGGTGGGTGGGTGGGTGGGTTTTTTGGTTTTTGGTTGCAGGTGCGGGTGTGGGGATATGGTTGTGGGTGGAAGTTGGGTTGGGTGGTGATGGCAAAGCTCCTTTTGCACATGTTTTGTGCAAGTGGAAGGGTGAAGAGAAAAGGCGAGCAAGTCATATAACCCCCCCTGCGCACCGGAAAAACCACCTCCGCCCTGGCCGATTACATGTGTACGACTACCTGTGTACGACTACCCGTACGACTACCCGTACGACTACCCAGGTACTACCTTCGTTACATCAGTCCCCGTTTCGGAGCGGCCCTCGTGGACGCGGAGGCGGAGAAGTACTGGATGCCCGTAGATCTGTACGTCGGAGGGGCCGAGCATGCCGTACTGCACCTTCTGTACGCGCGCTTCTGGCACAAGGTACCGTGATGATGAGGAAAAGCGGAAAAACGGAAGAAGCTTCTCCGCTGCCGTACATGGATTTTTATTATCTTTACGTGAAAGATAATCAGGTTTATTTACGACTCAACATAGATGGGCAAACACTGCGATGCATGTATATATATGGTGTCGCTTCACCTCACCATACCAGTCCACATACGTGCTTTGTTTCTCGACTTCCTTTTGACTTGCGCTTCCTTCAGCAAGCACATATTTACACACGCAACCATGTTTTCACTACTTTCTATTTACGAGACACACACAATATGGTACGACGACGCCTCTTTATTGTACGACAACCCAGGTTCTGTACGACTTGGGTGTCGTATCCACCCCTGAGCCCTTCCAGCGGCTGGTCAGCCAGGGTATGATCCTGGGTGAGGTGGAGTACACGGCCTTCAGAGACGGCGCAAGTGGGGAGTGGATGGAGGAAGGGGCGCCGGGGGCGGTGCCGGTGAAGGTGAGTGGGGGTGGGGTGATGATGGTGATGGTGATGATAATGCCGATGAGGAGGACTATTCGCGGCAGAAGTGGGAGGCTTTGGGGGTTGTAGAAGGAGGGGGGCCAGAAAGCGGGGACGAGGGGGGTATGCAGCAACCGGCGCCGGGGGAGAGGGGAGGGGCGGTGTCAAGGGAGGGTCTCAAGGTCTCTGTGTGGGACTGGAAGAAAGGAGAGTACTATTGTCGTACTATTTACTGCTGTGAGATAAAGTGTTTTTAAAGGACTTGTTGAGAAATGGCGGGAAAAGGAGTATTTCCCCCTATTAAAAAAGGGGGGGTGTCCAACTCCACAAGTTCTCCGGGGACTGCTGCTGGCGGGGGGGGGGCCGTGTGGGTGTGTATGGCTGCTTGATGTGGATGATGAGGGGTTTGGGCGTCATCATTGAACCCCCTACCCACTCATCTTGCCGTGTATCTATGCATGCATGTATGTACGTATGTATGTATGTATGTGTGATTTTGCTGTGCAGCTTTCCGAGTCCGAAGTGGACAAGCGAGGTGATGGCTACGTGTTGAAGACCGACCCACGGGTCCGAGTATCGGCCCGAGCTCACAAAATGTCCAAGAGCCGTGGCAACGTCATCAATCCTGATGATGTGGTGGCCCAGTTTGGGGCGGACTCGCTACGACTGTACGAGATGTTCATGGGGCCACTGCGGGACACCAAAGTACGGCATGAAGTACATTCGTACGTTCGTACTGTGTCTGTGTGTATGCTCCCCATTGCGCTGCAGCCTCAACTTCTCTCTGTCGGCACCGCCGTCTCCGAGCGCATTAGCAGACACCGACCGACGTGTTTTAAAGCTGCCACCACCACTTGCATCCACCTTTTCACCCTCACACCCGCCTGCTGCCGTTATTGCTACTGCTGCCGTTACTGCTACTGTTGTTGTGTGTATTGTTGTGCTCAGGTATGGTCCACCCGGGGGGTGGAGGGGGTGCACCGCTTCCTTGCCCGCGTGTGGAGGTTGTTCGAGGGGGGAGTGAGTGAGGAGCCGCCCTCCCGGGAGCAGCTGAGGCTGCTGCACCAGACCATCAAGAAGGTGAGGGGTGACGGTGAAGTCGTCAGGTGGGTGGGTGGGTGGGTGGCCCTTGACCCCTTGGCCTTGCTTCCCAAAAGCGCATGCAAAGCGGGGCGTTCATGGTGACGTTCATCGCCTGTTTTTCTTGTTTTGTCTCGAAAGCTCTGAGCCGTGGAGTGGAGCGACAGCGCTTTGGTGGCGAGATGTTGTTGATTTCGCATTCTGAACCAAGTCACTGCCCTTCCTCTCCCACCTCCCCCATCCTGGGCGGGATGCCCCGTGCTCCATTCCCGCTACTTCTCGTTGCTCGTCCCGTAATTCGTATCCCGTCACCCGGCGCGCCGTCGTCAAACCCGTCGACCTAGCTCTGCTTACCAACCAACTCCAACCCCCACCAACCAACCAACTCCAACCGTAACCCCTTTTTCGGTTATCTCCTGTTACACTCACACCCGCCTCCACGCCACAAAGACACACATACACACGCACACACATGTATACAAATCGGCATTTCCCATATCGTGAAAGCTCAGATCAGATCGTTAAAACTAAAGTTCCCCTTTAGGGGATATCATCATCCCCTTAAAGTTCCCCACACACGTACACACACATAACCTCCCCCCCCCGTCCCCGCTAGGTGAGCATCGAGACGGAGGAGCTCCGGTTCAACACGGCCATCGCCGCGATGATGGAGTTCGTGAACGGGGTCACCAAGTCGTGGAACAACAGACCTCGGGCTGCCCTCGAGGTGAGAGGGAAGGGGGGGGGAGCAGGGGGGTGGTGGGTTAGGTGTTCTCGCACATGCGAGGGGTACTCGGAGGGGAGGATTTCCTGATACTGCGTATGTCTCTGTGTCTGTCTGTCTGTCTGTCTGTGTGTATGCGGAGTTGCGACTGACAGACATACAAATGGAAGGACAAACAGGATAAAAAGCATTAACATTTCTACACGCCCTCGCACTCTACCGCCCGGCCCCCCTGCCCCGGCAGCCCTTCGTTTTGCTGTTATCGCCGTACGCCCCCCACTTAAGTGAGGAGCTGTGGGCCCGCTGCGGCCACAGCACCTCCTTGGCGTACGAGAGCTGGCCGGCGGCGGATGAGGGGCTGCTGGTGGTGGATACCGTCAACCTACCTGTGCAGGTACAGACAGACAAACAGACAGACAGACCCATGGTGCCGCCTATGTTACCGCCAGATAATAATACCCGTATTCCTGTCCAGATATCCGTGTCCGAATCTTGCTATAGGCGGTGGGGACATGGCTTCATGGTGTAACTAGGAACCGCCCTTTCAGCCCTTAGCCCTACCCGGTGCCCGGGGTAACCCAACGTGCAAATAGCTTATGTGTGTGGGGGGGCGTGTGCGTGTGTGTTTTAAACCTCGGTAGTATTTCGTTACCCCGAGGGGTGCAACGAGCTCATATGTGACGTGCTCATATGCATCGGTGTCTTGTGTTGGTCGGTGTCTCTCGTACAGGTGAATGGCAAGACCCGTGGGACGGTCCAGGTTGCGGCGGCCGCGTCGCAAGACGACGCGATGGCGGCTGCGGTGGGTAACGCCAACGTGGCCAAATACACGGCCGACAAGGAAATCAAAAAGGTCATCTACGTGCCAGGAAAGATCCTGAACCTGATTGTGCCTGGGAAGTGAGGAGGATGTAGCTACAATTGCAACCGCAGCAAGAATGCTACTGCTGCCGCTGCTGCTATTTATTCCTGTTGCTGCTACTGCTGGGCCGGACGTCTTTGGCGTTTTTTTTTGCTGTGTTCAAGTCTGGCTGTTGCCATGGTTTGTTGCCCCTGTGTCCGTCTGTCGGTCTGTCGGTCTGTCTATCTGTTTGCCTACCGCAAGCCGACTTTTCGGTTTGTCTGTCTGTCACTGTTCTGTTCCGTTGTGACCGATTTCCGTTGAGATGATGTATATTTAGTTCACTTAAACTTTTGCTTCTGGAACGCCCTGTCAGTCATTAGGGGCCACCGCCATGGTGACTAACCTCAAGTACGGCAACAAAAACGTGAAAGCGTCATGGAAGTCTCTCCCTCACGACGGTTAACTCCTGCCCTCCCTCGAGCCCCCCCAAGGACTAGGGTTGTTGCTGTTCTTTCAGGACTAGGACTAGGACTTGGGGTGTTGGGGAAATGCTCCCGGGGCGAAAAGGACGAACCGCCCCCTCCTTACCAGACCGAATGGTGCCGGCTGTGTGCTGCTGTGGCTGGAAGGAGTAAGTGGGGGTAAAGAAGGGCAGGGGGACAGACAAACCCTAAGAGGTGCAACTAAGTGTCAGCAGCAAGGTGTCAAGTTGTGTTGGCTCGTGATTCCGTGTTTGTGTGTGTGTGTGTGTGAACGGGCAGTGAGCAGGCGCCGAGAAGGTGCGTAGCTCGACGACGGGCTCTGATATTATCGGCGGGGGTGCGGGAAAAAGGGCAGAGAGAAAAGGGGGTTCGCGCGTGTCTTTAATTTTTGTTGGTTTAGTTTGGGGAGGGGGGGATAGAGGTGCTAGTGGCTGTAGTCGACCTCCGGGTGCCTTAGGGCAGGCATGGGGTTTTAGGTTTTAGTCTTAGGAAGCGAGCAGAGCTCGTTTCATTGCGCTCTTCGCAAGCGTGTTCGGTGTTGTTGGTGTCGTGTTTTGGCAGCCTTAATATTCCGTCCCGGCAGGCAGGTAAGAGTGTGAGCAACGGTCGATCGATCAATCGATCGCTGCGTGGCGCGATGGCGTAGGGAGTGCAGCGGCGCATGATGATTTTGCGGCCGCAAGGCAGGGAATACATGGTAATGGTAATAGAGCGTGAGGCTTAAGGGAATCGTACGACGGGTTGTTGGTTTAATTGCCTGACGGCGATTGTCAGGAACCGGATTATCCACACATCGAGAAGCCGTGATGTATATGAGGTGTTTAAATGCTGCATTTGACAATGTGACACAAAATGCCGCACTTGGGTTATTTATGCTGCAACGGTGTGTATAAGTGACTTTTTAAGTTGTGCACGTGGGTTTTCAGTGTGCAAATATCGTTCGGGTACGAGAGACCCAGGGCGAAGAGGCCCAGGGCGAGGGGTAGGTGGGCGACGGGCGGTGAAGAAAAGGCCCCTCTCACGTCCATCTCCTTGCATCAGCACCTTCACATCGTCCAGAAGGACGTCGTACAGCAGGAGGTGCAGAGGGGGAGGTATAATAAGATACATTTTCTCCCCCCAAGCCCAAGCCCAAACTGCACGAATCTGCCGCACGTGACGTCTGTCACTTACCGGCAGGGCATATATGCCTCCGTTCCTTTTGGAAATTGGAATCTGCACACCACCTTCGCAGTTTGTACGGCATTTACGTACATGTGCGGGACGTACAGTCAATACTGAGCACAAACCCACATTTTAATCCCTGCCCTCCTGTACATAAGCCACGGCCGCAAAGCTACTTGTCGCCCGCACATCTTGCGTACGCACACACACACACGCCCGCACATACATACAAACATCGGCACATTATCAACGCCTGTGCTCGTTCTAGACGCAATATTAAGAATATATTATCGTTGTCCTCGGGGGAAGCTGGCTGTGATTTGCCGGATTAAGCCCCGAACAATAGAGACATCGGTCGGTCTGTGTGATCAAGCAGTTGGTCATGTTGGAAAAGAGCAATTCTGACCATGAGGGAGAAGTGAGTGACTGTACGTTTATGCGTGTGCGGAAAGAGGCTCGCTCCTCCATCCTCTCCGAAAACGCCGAAAGGAGACATGAAGGCAAAGCAGAAAGGCGAAGCAGAAGGGTTACTTGGGAGGGCCGCCTCAACACGGGGAATGCGAGGGAAAATGATTGTGTGCAGTGTGGCCGAAACCTTCCGAACACTTCCGAAACCAAACCGCCGTACTACTATATTACCGTTGCTGCTTCTGCTGCTGTTGCTGCTGTTTTGTACAGAGGCAGCCTTGGAAGCCCTCCGGAGGTCACTGCACTCCTTTTGCCTATTTTGAAGTCAGTTGGGAGAAATCTCAGCTCGGTCCGGTGCGAGCAGGTGGTCCGGCTTATTGGTGTCTTGTCTGTGTGGCGGTGCGGTTCGAGTCCGAGCTGCAACATCTTCGCCCGCTCTCCCTTCCGTCTTCTCTCTCTCTCTCTCCCTCTCCCAAATTTGCTTCTCTTCCTCGCTCCCCCCGTTTTCCGCCCGCTTCGTCCTCTCTCTCGCTCGCTCGCTCGCTCCTAGTACTCCTCATCCTCGTACGTGACGGTTCGACCCATGGGTCTGTCAGACCGGCCTCTGCGGAGCGCACTGCGGGGCTGTAGCAGCACCTGCGGTAGCGAGCGGTAGCCGGATCCGGTTTCCTTAGTCGGCCTGGTGATGATGATGATGATGAGGAGGAGGAGGAGGAGGAGGTTCAGCTGCTGTGGGGCAGTGGCCTGTACCTCGCTCCTGCGAGGGGGAGTTCTTAGGGGCTCTGGGCGGCGGTGGAGAGCTTTTGGAGGAGGCCCTGGGTGCCCCTTGCTTAAGGTGGTAGGGGTGGAGGTGGAGGTGGAGGTGGAGGTGGAGGTGGAGGTGGAGGTGGAGGTGGAGGTGGAGGTGGGGGTGGAGGTGGAGGTGGAGGTATACAGGTAGAGGGACCCCACGCCACCGGACGTCCTGACATCCAGGATATGAAATACCTCCTCAGCACTTGCGAGGGCCACCACCACCCCTCCACACCCCACTACCCCCCCACCCCCCCACCGACCACCACCATCAAAGACCTCGACCCAGTTTTCGTCTTACCCTGTTTTCGCCGTACGCATGCTGCGCCGCATAGCCGAACGAATTCCCGCCGTACCCTGTGCCGTACCCGCTGCGGCTGCGGATATTCCTGCTGGCGGAGGGCATAGTCCTCCGCTGGTTCCGCGTGCTGGACATCCGCCAGAACTGATATAGGCCCACGAGCATCATGGCGGCTGATGTCGAGGGGGGGGTGAGGGGGGCGATGTGGGCGTCGTGTTCAGGAAGGTGACAACCGGAGGTGGGTGGGGAGAGCAAGCAAAGCAGAGGGAGGGAAGGAGGGAGGGAAGGAGGGAGGGAAGGAGGGAGGGGAGGAGGGACGAGAGGGAAGAGGCGTAGCGAGTGGAAATGCAATGTACGACATGTACGAAGAAAGACGACAACACCCCTTGACCAGCAGTTGTTCGGGGAATGGTACGGCGCGGTACGGCGCGGTACTGTAGGGTAGGGAGTCCGTTGAAGGCGGGGCGGCAGGGTGATGAGGGCGGCCGGAAGCTCCATCAACTCATCCATGTAGCCCCCTTCAAACCGCCGCTCACTCTCACCCTCGCCCTCGCCCTCGCCCTCACCCCCGCCACCGCCCCCGCCCTCGCCCTCGCCCTCGCCCTCGCCCTCGCCCTCGCCCTCGCCCTCGCCCTCGCCCTCGCCCTCGCCCTCGCCCTCGCCCTCGCCCTCGCCCTCGCCCTCGCCCTCGCCCTCACTGCCAACTCCTCCTCACCTACAAATACGGGTTGCGACCAAATTTTGCTGACGCCTCCAGACACCGGCGGTCGGGGCATTCGAGCGTCGAGTAAGACAAGCAAGGAAGGCCCGATCCTGTCGCCACCGCCGCCGCCGCCGCCACCTCCGCCGTTAGAGGCATCATCGCCGGCATGTACAGCCGAGGCAGCCAAAGCGGACGGTGGCGGCGATGACGGCAGCGCCAGTACGACCACCTGGCTGCCGGGTCCCACCGCCACCACCGGCGGCGGCGGCAGCATGCCGCCAATGAGTAAGCTTGTGGCGGCGGCGGCGGCGGCGGATGATGATGGCAACGTCGCAGCGGCCGTCGGTGCCGCCGGAGCCGCCGCCGACGCCACGTTCACTGCCGCGGCGGAGGTGCGGAGGTGCCGTGTGACAAGTTACTTTCAGACCCCTTCATGTGATGAGTTATGCTGATATTGATATTGGTTAAGGTGGAGGAGGACGAGAAGGCGGAGGAGGCGACAGCAGCGGGAAAGACTGAATGTGGGTTTCTGTGCCTCATGTTCTATATGTACGGCAGTACAGCCGTTTGGCCAACTACCAGAGTGGGCATTCTTAACTGCTTGCGCACACCTCTTCATGTTTGCCGTACTTTTACAAACATCACCCGGCATGCCGTACGCATCCAGCCGCCATCTCACCAATGACATGGTCCCTGGTGGACGTGAGTGCGGGTATTCCCGTCCTGATGACCCCGGAGACGTTGAACAACACCCGGTGTGACCCATGGGTCATCAGCAGGTAGCCCCGTAGGGCCGTCAGGGACAAGGAGTGGCGGCTGAGTGCTACTGCTCCTCCTCCTGGTTGCTCCTCGCCTTGTTGCTGCTGCTGCTGCTGGTGTTGGTGTTGGTGTTGGTGGAGGTCCAGCCAGGGAAGCGGAGTGGCGCGATGAACCTGCAGAACATCCAGACACACACACATTCATCCAGGCAGGTAGCCAGCCAAATTTTTCTTTCTTTACGCGCTCCGGCTACAACAGCCATCGATTTAACTGCTGCATATTACTTTTCCTGCCCCCCCCTCCCCAACAGCCCCAGCAAACCTTGCAAGTGGCGAGAGCCCCTTCGTGTGGTGTGACGAGCGACAGCAGCTCTCCCCGCCCGTTGATGCCGTACGACCGGAATGTTCGGTGACTGTCGAAAGCCGCCACTAACAACCGAGAGCCATTCAGGTTGTGACACTGCCACACAAAGGGGAATGTATGTATGTATGTATGTATGTATGTATGTATGTATGTATGTATGTATGTATGTATGTATGTATGTATGTATGTATGTATGTATGTATGTATGTACGACTAGATTACACTGTGGGCCGCGAGAGCCGGGGGCCGAAGCCGAAACACAGCCGGAACAAAGTAAGTAAGTAAGTATGTAATCCCTAAGCCAGTGGCACTAAGCCAACACCGCCATGCTCCCTCATGGATCTGATGAGCTGCGCCCAATGAGGGGCAGTTGCGGATTCCTAATAGTTTGAACGGTGTTGCTGGTGCCTCCTGATTAGGAGCTGCTGCGGCCAACAGCTCCTACGCGGCCCCCCGCGGGTGCTTGGGTGCTTGGGCCCACACCGACCACCCACCAGCACCACCAGCACCACCAGCAGCGGCGGCGACTCACCACGTAGGCCCGGGGGGCTCGGGGTTGCAGCGTGTTGATGAGGGTGGCGTGGTGGGCGGATAGCAGGACCGCGTGCGTGCCCACTGAGAGGGCCCGTGAGCGGGGGGAATGGGGGAGTGGAGTGGGGGAGTGGGGGGAGTGGGGGTGGGTGGGTGGGGTGAAGGGGTGAAGGGGGGGAGTGGCGGGAGTGGCGGGAAAGAGCGGTGCAGAGGGAAGGGGGAGAAGTATAGCGTCGTGGGCGGGAAACACACCAGCAACATCATCATGAGCACCAAATTGTTAAAAACATGGTAAGAAGGGTAAAGGAGGACGAGGAGGGAGTGGGGGGAGGAGGGGAAAGACAGGCTTACTGAACTGCCTTCACATAAAGACCAGTCCTGCACCCACCTACCTACCCACCTACCTACCCACCTACCCACCTACCTACCCACATACATACATACATACATACAAACCTACCTACCTACCTATATAGGTACACCAAACTCACCGAATGTGGCCGCCAGCTGCGTTCTGTTGGTTCGGGCCCAAAACCGCACTGTGCCATTATCTCGCTCCAAGCGGTAGTTCCCGGCTCGATCCAGAACGAGAACATGTCTTCGACCCGTGACCTTGTTGCCCAGTCTGCGGGGAATTACAAAGTGGGATGCATCATGTCATCGGTTGCACATCAGCGAGCAGCGCGCTCCTCCTCACGTTGGGGGCAAGGAAAGAAGGGGGTTGAAACAATGACAAAAAGAGGGGTTACGTATCTTTGAGGGTGGAAGGCTGTGGTTGGGGCGCCCATATGTATGCGTGTGTGTGTGCCTGTGTGCCTGTGTGTGTGTGTGTGTGTGTGTGTGTGTGTGTGTGTGTGTGTGTGCCTGTGTGTGTGTGCCTGTGTGTGTTTTAAATGAAATGCGAGCCGCGAGATGTCTAGAGAAGTCTATATGTATATGTGTCCCTGTGTGTGTCTGTGTGTGTGTCTGTGTGTTTTAGGAGGTAACACTGCCTACTTCACAACAACGCACGGGCCCGCTGTCGTTAACAAGAACCGCACACGCCGTCGACGTCAACACGCCGCCAGTCCGGCGCTCCAACCTGTACGGCAAAATGTGCATGATCGGCGCTGGTGGCCCCGTATATTGTTGCGACTCGGCGATGGCGTCAGCCACCGCTGCCGCTGCCGCCTCCGTCGCCGCGTCTGCCGGCGGCTGCGCCGCCGCCGCTTCCGTACTCGCCCCCGTCAGCGTCATTGGCAGCTCCTCCACCGCCGCCCAGGGCAGCGCCCCCGCCGGCATGGACTCCACCACGTGGCGTAGCCGTACAAAGTGTACGACAAGCTTATCCTGAGCTGCCGTACTGATACCGCGTTGGCGCTGCCGACGCCTCCGATCGGTGGGAGGAGGAGAAGGAGGCGACGCCGTCGCCGCCGCCGTGGCATCGTCCTGGGCTTCCCGCATCAATACGGCAAAGCTGCGCGTCTGGCCGTTGGCGTGCCCCGTAATAATAGTGGATTCGTATCTCCGTACGGAAAAGGCCGAGCAGGCAGTGACGGGCGAGTCGGCACCAGTATGAAGCGCGGCCAGTACGGCACCGTCAGAAGGACTTAAGATGTACAGCGACCCCGCTGCATCACCAGCGACGATGTACTGCAGAGGGCCGCCGCCAGCAGCGGCAGCGTTGGGATGCGGCAGCTCGTACGGGAATACACACGTTACAAGAGATGGGGCCGCCGCCGGTGCTACTGCTGCCGGCTCCGCCGGCGTTGCCACGTTCGTCGCCGCCTCCGTCGCTGGCGGTTGCGACAGTGGCGCCGTCAGCCGCGCGGCGGCACGCAGCGCAAAGTGGCGGCCAAACCAGTCCTCCTCCGCCGCCGCCGCCGCGACGCCGGCGCCAGTGATGGTATTGTCGGTCACGGCAGACAGGCCGGTGACAGCTCCGAAGCCGGCGGCCCTCCGTTCCCGCAACACCAGCTGCAGCGCGTCACGCAGCGCCTTGCGGGCCGCCGCGGAGGTGCCGCTGCTGTCCATACCTAGGCTGCGCAGGGCAGCCGCCGCAGCCGCCGCGATAGCAGGGTCCGCGGCCGCGGCGGATCCTGCCGCCGCAGCTGGCGACGTCGTGACGGCGGCGAGTGCCGCCAGACGATGCTCGTGTCGGGCTACTGCGACTTCTAAGCGCTCCACCGCCACCCGGGCTTGCTCCAGAACCTCACGGAGCGCCTGGAGATCTGTTGCAGCTGGCGCCTCCGCTGCCAGTGCCGCTGGCGCCTCCGCTTCCGCTGGCGCCTCCGCTTCCGCTGGCGCCTCCGCTGCCGCTGGCGCCTCCGCTTCCGCTAGCGCCTCCGCTTCCGCTGGCGCCTCCGCTGCCGCTAGCGCCTCCGCTTCCGCTGGCGCCTCCGCTTCCGCTAGCGCCTCCGCTGCCAGTGCCGCTGGCGCCTCCGCTTCCGCTGGCGCCTCCGCTTCCGCTAGCGCCTCCGCTTCCGCTGGCGCCTCCGCTTCCGCTAGCGCCTCCGCTGCCGCTGGCGCCTCCGCTGCCGCTGGAGCCTCCGCTGCCGCTGGCGCCTCCGCTGCCGCTGGAGCCTCCGCTGCCGCTGGCGCCTCCGGTGCCGTCTCCGCTGCTGCATTACGTGGTACTGCTGTTCCTGTGTCAACTGCCGAAGCATCAGCGGCGGCCACCGCTTCTGTGACGGCGTCGGCAGGCGTAGGCGCCGCGACGGCCTGCCCAGCGCTTGGTTGAGGATCATAATCATGAATAGAACCATCGCTTGGCAGTGGAGATGCGGGGGAAGTGGTGGTGGTCGTAACAGCGGTTGGGTCGTCATGGGCACCGCTGCTAGGTCCATCTGTCGCCGCTGCGGCAAGGACAGGGGGACTCCACGTGGCAGCGCCGTCAGATGTCACAGTCACCTTTATAATGTCCGCATGTCCTGCGATTGTTTCACCGCTGCCGCAGGTTGCTGCTGTTCTGTCGACGCTGTTTGGGGATGCAGCCGCTGGGCCCATAGTAATCGCCTCTTTCGAAGAATCCTGAAGGCTGATATAATTTTCGTTGGCATCATCCAACTGATCTGACCATGTGCACGAACCGTTTTCATCGTTGCAGGCATAGCCATCCGCTGCGACATTTGTGTCTGCCGGGACAGCTGGCAAGCTAAGACTAAGGAAAACAGCCAGAAGTGTTGCTACATATTTCACATTAATTACCATTTGATGTCAAATTGCTAGCGCAACTCTCGAGGCGTCTATCGCATTTCGTCACGGGCGCGTTAAAATTCAAATCGAAGCCCACAGCACGCTACAGTGTAAATCCATATACAGGTACGCAATCTTTGCAGCGCATCGCTACGCTTTCAGAGCATGAAGCACTCGGAATGCCTGAAGGTTTCGTAACCGTACATTTCTCCGTACAGCTACTTTAAACTCGAAGTCCCTGCTCAAAGCCTTATCCAACGGACTGCAACTGTCACACCCCGCCTCACCATCTACCTTCTGCTGTAAAAGTTTTCAAAAGCTAAAGTTCACCCTTGCCCGTCATCCTGGCTGTCCCGCCCGTTTCAGCCGACGGCCCTGCGACGCCCTGTTCTGTCCTGCTGCCGCAATACTGTACCAGCTGAACAGTCGTCCAACCAAGCTCGGGCTCACCAAACTTGCTTCCCAGCTTGACATGCTGCGTCCGACAGTCGCCTGTGGGAAACGAGGACTAAAACTTGGGCTGGTCCCAACTACAAAAAAACACAGCTGCGGCTTAGCATTTCGGCGTGAGTTCGATTTGAAGCTGTCTGTAGCTGGCGCCGCGAACTGTATGTAGCCAGCCGCCACTGCGGCAGTGGCGACACACGAATGCGCGCGTAGCACTGCGCAGCTCATCACTAGTTTTATCTCACATCGCGTAACCCGGTTTCGTAACAAGCAAGGATACATGCATATATACACATATACAGACAGACAGACAGACACGCTCTGGCTTCGGCTTGAGCTCCATTACAGACGAGCGAAGGCCATACACCGTCAACATCGGATGTATACGGCGCAAATGCACACACACACACACACACACACACACGTGCGGCCTCTCCCCGTCCCGAACAGCATCCCCCCATCCGTCTTTCCCCCCAACCCGCCGTAAGAAGGCTATATGCGAAAATGAGATGTATGGTGTCACCAACCAACCACGGCAGCGGCATCAGCTGGCCGCCGCCGGAGGACGCTACTGCTGCTACTATTGCTACTACTGCTGCTACTGCCGCTGCTGCCTTGCGGCGGCGGCGGCGGCTGCTAGGTGGCCGAAGAGGAACAAAGCCACGGACTGCCCTTCTGCGCACACATACACAAAAAAACGTCTCTGCGTACGGCCTCACCCACGGGGGGGTGACATACTTGCATACCTACATGCATACATTTGACTTTGCCCTAGCTGAGACTTGTGGACTCGCTCTAGCGGGACCTGAGAGCCCTTCGTGGTGTATTCAATGCAGCGCCATCCCCGGATGGAGTGGCTGCGGAGTGGCTGCGTAGAGTGTTGGCAGTCTGAGTTGGGGTCGGGAGCACACAAGACTAACCGACTTGTGCTGTGTGCTCCAGACCCTTGCGCTGTGTTTCGGCTTCGGCCCCCGGCTCTCGCGGCCCACAGTGTAATCTAAGTCATACATACACATATACCTACATGCGTACACATTTATACATACAGATGTACACGCACACAACCGCCTAACAGCTAGGCCGCAAAGCCGTCGGCCGGCACTGCAACAGCGCCTCGACCGCTTCGGCGGCTGCTGCTGCTTCCCTTCCAATCGCCGCCATCACCGCCATCACCCCCACCCACCTGAGCTGTACGTAGCCCCCCTCCGTTATCTGCCGAACTACCAAAATGTATATAGCGTCATCGTAATGACGTACATGCTCTACATGTACGGTATCTCTCATACGTAGTCGCCGTCATTAATAAGTCGCATTTTGTCATTTTTTATCCCAAAACCTCTTATCATCTCCTTTCGCAAACAGCAGCAATAACAACAACAGCGGCAGCAGCAGCAGCACCGACCAGGAAAATGTACTTCCTGTGCCAGTGCGAACACACATACACACATACACATATTTGCGAGCTGACCAGGAACTAAGTTATGGCGCCGTTGATCCGCTAGATTTGGTTGGATGCTGGTGGTGAGTTGCTGAACCCAACGAATACATTCTGGAGTCGGACGGGGTGAATGGATTAGGGTGCCCCTCTCGCAGGGGAGAGCAGGGAACTGCCTCGGGAAAGGGGGCCGCTGGTGAAGCTATACCACCCTGTAACAACATACATACATACATACACGCAGACACATAGATAAAAATCAATAGAAAAACACTAGTTGTGTTCTTTTAGGGGTTTTCTTCGAGGGGCCTCTTCTTCCTCCCAATCCCATCACCCCCATCCACCCACTTTAAACCCACCACGCTATCCATCCCCCACCCCATCCCACCCCCCCATCCAAGCACATATACAAATACACAACCCCATTCGCCCGCCTCCGCGATCCCTCAATCGGTACGACACGTGAATCTCCGTACCACCAAATCACACTACATATACATACATGCATACACGTGCGTCAGTGGTCTGTAAACAACGGAAGAAGGGCGTCAACGGTTGTGTCGTTGTCGCGTGCCCCCCAAACCACGTGGCCTCATGATAGGGCGCATCTGAACACCCCCCACATACATACATACATACATACAATACATACATACACTCATACAATAGACATCTCTGGGTGTCTATTGCATTCAGTCCCGTGAAGGGTCTTTACTAAAAGTGATGTGGCGTGTGCGAAATGCTGCGGGTGGCGCCACAGTTGGGCCAGGACCACCTGTATATGCGAGTGAATGTGTGCTCGGAGGATGTGAGTCGCCCGTAAAGAGGTAAAACTGTGAAATGTGTTTTGGAAGGGGAGGGGGGGAAAAGATCCAAACGACGAGTCATATGTACGGCAGCACATCCTACACGTCGCACCCAGCAGTCGTTACGTCGCCCCTCTACCCGCCACCCCACCCCACCCCACCCCAGGGGGCTCAGCCCCAAACCCATAAACACACACACATCCCCCACCCATGCCGTAATCGTCTTGATAACAGTACTGGCTTTCCATCCCAACTGAACGACACATACAGACAAACAGACCCCAGCGCTATACCGGAGGCCTCTGCTACTGCTGGTGCTACTGCCAGTACCGGTGCTGTTGCTGGTGCTGCTGCTGCCCGGTCGGTTGATTCCTTGGCGGGGCGGGTGTGGGCGGCGGGGGTTCTCCCTCTTCCTCTCTCCCTCTCTCGGCTCACTTGGATTTGTACTGTGTGAAGATTACACCTGAAGCGGTGGTGGTGACGGCGGTGATTGTGATTGTGGTGATTGTGATTGTGGTGATTGTGATGTTCATGACTCCCCCCTCCCCCCCGCCTTCCCCTCCACCCATCCTCTCTTTCTGCCCCTTCCCCCGCGGGCTTCTCTCACCCCCCCCCTTCAATACGCCTCCCGTACAGCTCACCCCTCAGCCCGCTGCCCACCTGCCCCCAGACCTATGACGATGCTGGCCATGTTCTTCGCGTTTGTGGGTTCTCTGAAGGCCAGGATGCCCACTGTCGCGATCGGGAACTTGTTGAGGGAGCCGATCAGGGAGTAGATGGTGGCGGTGGTCTGGGACAGGAACCAGAGGCTGGAGAAGCTGTTCGGGGGGAGTAGGGAAGTGGGGGATGGAGGGGTGGGGGGAGGGAGGGGTGGGGGAGGGAGGGGTGGGGGGAGGTATGTGTGTGTATGCGTGTGTTTCTGTGGTGGGAGTAATAGGTACGTGATTCCCAATGGAACTGGGTGGTGGGGGCGGAAAGGAGGACAGGGGAGAACGGAAAGGTTGTTGTTGTTGTTGGTGGTGATAGTGAGGGGGATAGCGGGGGGTGCGGGGAGGAGGGAAGCCCGCCTCGTGACTTTCTTCAAAAGTACACTTGAAGGAATTAACGTAAATCAGAATCACATATATACATACATACATACAGCCTTTGCAATTGCCCCCGCATTCGCACATCTTCGGAACAGCACGTACTAACTCCCCCTAGTGTTGCTGCTACTGCTGTTGCTACTGCTGTTGCTGCTACTGCTGTTGCTGCTACTGCTGTTGCTGCTCCTACTGTTGCTGTTGCTGCTACTGCTGCTGCAGCTGCTCCTCCGACATCCCTTGATTTCCTTTGTTCACAGGGCACACAAACACACACCCCCACGCCCTCCCCCCCCACTGCCCCACCTGATTGCGAACCCGATGATCCCCCCCAGCACCGCTACTGCCTGGAAGGGCGGTAGTGTGAGAGCGGGCTGCTGTAGCAGTCCGTCGTACTCCCCGAACACCGCCATCAGCACCAAGATAGGTGGGATGGATAACAAGTTGTTGTAGTACACCTAAAGAGTGTTGGGGGTTGGGGTTTGGGTTGGGGGTTTGGGGGATGGGTTGGGAGGGTTTTTCAAAGGTGGGAGAGGCGGAGTAAGACGGAAGGCTGCGGAAGGGGGAAAGCAGGGGGGGATGTGCGTGTGTGGGGTGGGGAGGTGGGGGAGGCGGGCGAGGGTGATTGACAGTTAGAAGAGAAGGGCAGCACCCCCTGGCTGCTAAGTGCCCTCGCGCCTTCCCGTGCTTCCCGAGACAGTTCCCCCTCCTTGCATTAATATAATATAATGTCATATTAAAATGCATATATATTACATATATACGTACGAACCCATATCCCACCAAGAACACAAAGCAAGCACCTACGTACATACGCACGTACGTACATACACATATACACGCAATTCGACACTCACCATGCTAAACTCGTCCATCTGCGGGGAGGGGTGTGATGGAGGGGTGTGATGGAGGGGTATGATGGGGGGGGGAGGTGGCGGGAAGGTGATGTAAAGGGGGGCACAAGTGAGGGGCGAGGAAAGCAAATACCCCAGGCATGTAGGTAGGTAGGTAGGTACGCTCCAATGGGAGGATACACATGCATACATACATGCATACATACATGCATACATACATGCATACATACATGCATACATACATGCATACATACATCCACACATACATCCACACATACATACATACATGGATACATACATACATACATCGGCACCTTATTTCCGTCCACAGTGTACATGGGCACCTTGTCCATCACACTACGCAAGCAAAGCGCGTAAGCCGAGGTCAGCAAGCAGTTGACAACCTTCGAGAAGACAAGGAGGGGGGGGAAGGGGGGAAGGGGGGGGCGGATGCGCACGCGTGCTTCAGTAGTTCTGAGCGCGCGTGTGCGTGTGTTTCTGTGTCATCTTCTCCACCTCCCCGACAGCGTCAAATCCCTCAAACCCCCTCCCCCCTCCTCCCCCTCCCCCCTCCCTTCCAAACTCTCTTCCCCCAAACCCCCTCCCCCCCCATCACTCGCCTGCCAGGTGTACCCTGACCAGCTGAACCTCGAGTCAGTGGAGGCCCCAACCACGGCGGAGGTGATCATAAGGCCCATGCAGGCCCACACCGGCCAGCTGTACGACCGCCGGAAGATGAACACGTCACCCAGCGCTGACGTGCATGCGGGGGCGGGAACAAAGCGGGGCGTTACGATAGCGCAGGGTGTTGGTGTGTATGGGTGTGGTTGCGATGTGGGTGGTAGTGGGGGTGTAGGGGAATGGGGGCAATAGGCTGGAGCGGGGGTTTGCAGGTTGTAAGGTGGGGAGGATTGTGGGGGGAAGGGGGTGTAGGACATACACACACGTGCCCTGTAACTCTAGTTCGACCCGGGCCGCTGTGTGGGGCGAACTTGGAGAGAGGGCGCAGGAGGGCTCCCGGACGCGCCGCCGCCACCGCCGCCCGTGTGTGTGTGACGGATGTGGATGAAAAAATGCGGGAAGTGAAAGGTTGGGTTGATGTCCGCGCTAGGGTTCTTGTCGGGGCACACGGGCCACGCCCCTGCCTCCTCTTCCTGCCCCCTCAACCCTTCACCCATTTTCAGGGGCGGGTCGCCCTCCTTTCCGCCTTTCGCCGGTAAGGGCAATCCCTGGGCCCCCGGGTAAGGGCTCCCTCATCACACACCTTCCAAGGACACTGGGATTCTGCGGCCCTAAACCTCCTGCAAGTCCTTGCAACCGCGGCCGATGGGGGATGGAGGGCGGGAACCATTTGTCTTCCCTCCCTCCCTCCCTCGCTCTCTCCCTCCCCGTGCATTCCCCCTTCCCCACAGGCTTCGACTTTGTGTTCGTCTGTCCGTCAGCGGAACTGTGTGATATGCATCTGTGCGTCGTTATGTGTGCTGCTGTGTATGTTTAACTGGGAACACCAGCTGCTTTGCGTAGCCTGATATCTGGTTTTAAAGTGAATGTGTGCCTGGGTTGGGCTTGATTTAGCTGGTGGATGAGTGGAGGGATGAGGAAGGGAGGAGCTGGCGCAAACGTACCCGTCGTCAGGTTGGCAAGCTGCTTCCAAACGGAGAACATGCCGATTCCCATTAGCTGGAGCGCGTAAAATCCGCTGCCGAGCATCATGACAAAGATGCAAGTGACGGGGAACCAGAGGATGACGAGGCCACGCTTAAGGGGCTGGAGAGGTTTAACGAACCCCGCTGCCTCGCACACCTTGACCAACACAACAGCGAGCGCGCATTGAAAGAGAAGCAGCGCGTTTGGAGCTGTAAAATTGAAAGATGCCAAGGCGTGTTTGTTTAGCAGCACCATAGACGCGGAGGCGCTGCAGTAACAAAAGCCTGCGACTACGGCAGCTGGTATCCCGAAGATCTTTCGTGGCGGAGGGTCTACAGTGGCGTTTGTTGTTGGAAGCGGACTATAAGAGGCATTGCTTTTCACAGGTAAAACCATTGTGTTTGAAGCCATGACAACTGTTTCCGCAGAAGACTTTAATGAATTTTAGCAAAAGGAATGTCATCACACTATTCTATACATTAGATGATCTTCAATGCCTTGTGTAGACGATGATGGAAACAAACGTCTTCTCCTGCCGTTGCATTAGTTCCGGAGCCGTGGCTATTCGACTGAAAAGTGCGTGTAGCAAGTTTGCAACGGAAGAGGTAAAAACACTGCAATTTCCAAATATTATATTGTAGGGGACATCACCAGTAAATTTGGACGTGAGACAGCGTTCGCAACGGACGTCGAACGTTTACCTCCAGAGTAACAATATCAGAATGGTCCTCTCTCAAGGAGATTTCTTCTAGCACGAGTCTCTGTTTCAGGAAGCTACGAAAAGACTCTTACGCCTTAACTGATGTGACAGCGGTCGCGGGGCGGCAGTTATGCATAATGCGGGCGCTTTGACCGACGGCTGCCGGTCGTTCACCGGAGGTCATGAGCGCGGACCTCACAAACAAGAAATCACACGGCAGTCCTCGTATCATGCACATGCTTCCTTCTTCAAAATCGAAACGCAACCATATCGTAAAGACACCGGCGCGGCTTAAGCCACAACTTTGCGCTCAACGCGTTGCGAGACCATAACCACAGAGGAACACGCCTTTGGTGGCAGCGTCATCATAAGCGCTCCAGAATCCCCTCAATCCCATACAAGTTGGACTGGACAGTTCCGCCCTGCTCTGAGAGGGCCTTGACTGGACAGCTATGGAGTTTTCCTCCTATCGGTGAACAGATATATTTCTGTTATAAAGAGACGTTTGTGTACATATGCGCATCCGTGGACACCGCCCCTGTCCGAGGCTTCCCTCAGGCTTTCACGAACACCCCCCAATTGTGCGGAAGTAATATGCATAGCAGGGAACGCCGGAACCAGTTTGAAGGCAGTTGCTCTTGGTCCCTAACTGGACTGGAATGGACAGTGGGGAAATGGGGACATGCAGTGTGGCGCTGTGTGTTGGGAAGAAGACAACATCCCCCGCACAGCAAAATGCAACGCCGGAGTAAAATGACGGAATAACATGATGAGATGCATGCGGTGTTTTGTGAAGCTGTAAGGAATATTCGCTATCCCAGCCGCTGTGCGGGCCGTGGCGGAAGCATCACCATTGCCACCGTTACCGCCGCTACCGTTAACGGCTACCGTAGCCAGTTGCGCTCCGTTGTCCTCTATCAGTTGCTATGGCCCGGAAAGTCGTGTCCCGTATCTTCCCCGTAGCCCGTGGACCCCGGTGGGGAAACCTTGTATGGCGGTGGTGGTGGAGTGCTGGAGGAGTACTCGCATTCCCCTGGCCATGGCTCGAACAGTATGCTCCCTTGCATACTCCCGCGCAACCCGTGCTGCTGGATTGTCTCAGAGCGTCTGAGCTGCTTTATGTACCATTATTCCGTAAGCCCGTCACATCCAAGGATACGGCGGCTTTTGCAGCAATTCAAGCCGAGAACCGTGTCATGAACCATTACCAGACCAACACCTCCGGCTACAAACAACATTAACGGCAGAGGATGGTGGAGGAGTTCAAGTCCTTCTGTGCGGCGTGGGCTGCCTTGGCAAGATAAGCCTGACAGGTAACCGCATGTGGATCCCAGAAGCCAAGGTGCAGACCATAAAATCCCAGCGACTGCACCAGGCCAGGCCGGACACACACATTTAAACATGGATGCTGTGCGGTCTATCCGGTTATGGCATTCTGGACGGCGGGGTATAGCGGGCCCAGCGGTCCAACGCATATGTGTCGGTTGGTACTGATTGCCAAATCTTGGCAAAAGGCGTGGAATGTGCTTCGCACGTCCTTCAGTGGCTGTTAAAAAGAAACACACAAGCCCTTCCTTGCGCCAATAGAGCCGAATTGACTGATAGCTATTACGTTTGCGACCAGAAGTATAATCTAACCAAACATGTGCCTGAACAATGAACCCTTCGCCCTCAGCGTCAAAACTGATCTGAGCGACCTGGCTATCAAAAGTGAACCAGGGTACGGGTTGTACATGTTCAGTCGCTCTGTTCTAACCACAGCCCTACAGTTTGAGTGCAATGAGCGCAAACATACCGTACTCAGGTTCGAGGTCAGACAAGTGTACAGTCTTGAGCTGGCCCTATCCGATATCACAGCTAACGCTGTCTGAGGTGTTAGACCAGCAGAACTGATATTTGGCAAAGAATTTGTATACTAGTCTTTGATCTGTAGCTCGTCGGTATGAACACACACCTGCGCGGGCGTATTTGCGGGGAACGCTCATCGGCCAGTCGCTCGCATGGTCCCCGACGACCCTTCAGCGGAACTCCATGCCGCGTTCCTCCCGCACGCTCAGCCAATAACGATGATCCTGAGCCGCAGAACATGGAAGCTCTCAGGGAAAAATTCTTCCGCGCCAACAGCGACGAGGGTGCTAGCATTTCGCAGGCCCCATCGTCAAAAGATAATGTCGCCGACCTCAACCTCAACGCGATTAACCCCTACGAGCTTGGTCGGCAGGCTCGACAGGCCTTCAACGACGTTTGGGAGCAGCTTTCCCGTGTTACCTCCCCAACTCGCAGCTACATCATCGATAATGTCCTTGAGGTTGAGGCCGATGCAGACTTCCAGGCCCCCCAGGCCGCCTACACCACGGTGCTGGTTGTAGGCGCAACAGGGCGCGTTGGCCGCATCCTCGTCCGCAAGCTCCTGCTGCGCGGCTACAAAGTCAAGGCGCTGTTCCGCAATCGAGCTGGGGTCAGCAAGGAAGCCATTCCAGATTCCGTGGAGGTGGTGGAGGGCGATGTGGGCGATATGGCTACATGCCAAAAGGCGGTTCAGGGCGTCAGCAAGGTACGAACTCGACACGCTGTTGGAGTTTGGGGTTGGTGTTGATGCCCGCACCGCGGCGGAGGGTTTTTCGCGGTTTATAAAACTAGAGGGGGTTGGCACCTCGGGTTCTGGAAAAATAATTCCTGGGCTGAAGATTCTCTCTCACCTGTTCGAACTTTTGCTGTGTGAACCCACACAGCAACACAGACCAGCGCAAACGCTGTTGTACCGGTTTCGCTCCACGCGGATCCTCGCGCGCTTGTTTTTCTTAAGTACGGTCCACGTACGGCACACGCAGTCTCTCTCTCACCGCGACGTTCCCCCAGTTTCCCCTCGGTCCCTAACCCTCCCTAACATTCCCCCGGTTCCCATTCCCGAGGTCGCTACCTTCAAAACCGCCTACTGGTCAGTTCTGCTTCTCTTTCCTTGGCAGCAGCTTCACTCGGGTTCGTGGTTCGTTTTGCCCCCCTGTACACACATACACATACATACACACCAACCCGCATCCTCGCATCCCCACCCTCTGCCCTGCCCGTCTAGGTTATCTTCTGCGCCGCGGCTCGCAGCGCCTTCACCGCCGACCTCCTGCGCGTGGAGGATCGCGGGGTGATGAACATGGTCAAGGCCATGCAGGTGAAGAACGGGAGAAGTGGCGTTACAGGGGGGGAAACGAGGGGGAAAAATAGGGGGGAAACGAGGGGGGAAACGAGGGGGGGCAAAGAGGGGGGAAACGAGGGGGGGCAAAGAGGGATGAAAAAGGGCGAAAATGGGAAATGGAGGTAAGGAGGGGTTGCTGACGGGGGAAGCATTCATCAGGGGGTTGGAGAGGTGAACAGAACCCAGGGGTTCGTACTGACCCGCCGCGGGTGGGTAGGGGAGGTAGGGAGCTAGGGGTTTGGGAGCTAGGGTGGTTGTTGAAAATCCCACCCAGCTTCGAACGTCGTTCTCCTCCTCCTCCTCTTTTTTTCCCTCCTCGCTGCCCGATGGTCGGTCGCTTCGCTTCCCGCCTGACTGTTGTTTCACGTACCCCTTGCATGTAGGACGAGCTGTACCGCCGTGCCAAGCGCTCCGGAACCAAGTTCCATTCCACGTCGAAGAAGGAGCTCGCGGACTTCAACAGCCGGTTCCATCAGGCCAGGTGGAACGTCACGTTCGCGGGGACGCCGGAGGACGCCGCGGCGGCAGCGGCGGAAGGCCGCCGCGGCGGTGACGGCGACAGCGCGTACGGCAGCCGGTTGAATACGGCGGAGGCGGTTATTACGGAGGACAACAATTTGCTATTCGAGGGTGAGATTGATGTGTGCGTATGTATGTGTGTTGGGGGGGGGAAACTGGGGGGAACTGGGGGGGGGGAAAAGAGGGGGCCGGAGGGAAATCGGGGGGTTGGGAAGTCAGTAGTCGTGCCGGGCAGCCCGCTTCTGACCCAAAGGCGGAGCGGGTACACGAAAGAAAGGGGGGAAGGGGGGGAAGGGTGTGGCGACGTAACACACACGATTGACGAGAAGAAGGAAAAACCACAAACGGATGCTCCAAGGTGATGACCAATACTGCAGGAGGAAAGAACCCCAAGATACTGACCCCTAGTGTGACAATGTTGGCTTGCCTTGTCAGTTGTCGACAAAGGAAGGGTGTGAAAACTCACACGCGTGCACATACGTAAGTGCAAAGTACGAAGACGTGCCGGACTGCTGGACAGGCGCTATGATGCCCCAATGTGATGCATACGCATATTCCTTTTAACTACAGGAGTGCGCACTCCAGGGGAACGGGGCCCTATATGACTTATATATGCGTGTCATATTTTTATTCATGGATTTATTACGCGCTGGTGTGTGTCCTAACTAGGCAACTTGATGTCCCGCGGAGCCATCGCGGAGGTGGGCGCCCGCCTGCCACCCCGCCTGCCCGGAGGCGAGCACCGTACGGCCGGTACGGAAGGCATCGTACTGCGGGCACGCGGCGACGCGCACTCGTACCTCTGCATCTTGGAAACGGACGACGGCTACCGCTACGGCGCGCGCTTCCCAACCAAAGAGGGTTACCTTACCGTACGGTTGCCGTACGCGGCATTCCGTAGCGAGTACCAGGGCCAGCCGCCGCTAGACCCGGCGCGTCTGGTGGGCATCGCGCTGCGGTACGAGAACCGCCGCAGCGGCAGCGGACCGTCTGCGGCTGCGGCGCTGCGGGCAGCCAAGGGCCTGAGCGAGCGCAATATGGATGAGCTGGCGGCTCAGAGGACGAGGGACCAGAAGTTTAGTTTGGAAGTGGACTGGATCAAGGCGCTGCCGGGTGGGTTCGTGGGTGGTAGTGAGCGGGATGTATGTGTGTATCTGTGCATGTATATGTATGTATGTATGTATGTATGTATGTTTGTATGTATGTATGTATGTATGTGGCGGCATCTTCCTGTGGAGTGGAGGGGGGTGAATGGAATGGGTTTTGCGGGACGAAAGGGCAGTGGGGTTCAGACGATCTACAGTAGGGCAGTAGGGGTGGGTGGGGGGGTGAATGGATGTTAGCAGGTTGGTGGGTTACGGGGAGGGGCGCATCAGTGTGTGTGTGTGTGTGTGCGGGGGGGAAGGGGGGAGGGGGAGGGGATGAAGCCATATACAAGAAGCGATAAGAAATAGAGCTCAATACTGCATCATCGCCCTAACTAAATACCAAACCAACCAGCCAACCAACTAACAGCTGACAGCTGACTCCAAATCGACGGTTGAGTTCACGGGGGGCCGCGAGCTTGCAAACAGACGGGACGGGACGACGTGCGGATGGCAGCACACCGTGACAGCTCCTCCCTGTGTATTCCTCTTGTTCGTGCACTCTTTCGTTCCCCGAGCACACCCTCTCTTCCCCAGGCCCCCGCAGACACACAGGCACACACATACACACATACACACATACAATGCTTCGGCGGTCGTTCCTCCGTTGTGGTATACGGTTAGGTGCCCCTGGCTAGTGCCAGGCCCGAATCGATTTGTAACAAATACATACATACATATATACACACGCACGCACCAGCTCACATCATAAACACACACACACCGGACCTCTTTCACACATACACACACACTCTTCACCGGCGGGCGGCTCCCTCCCTCCCTCCCTCCCTCCCCACACCGGGGGCACGCTGCAGGTGGAACCGAGCCGGACTTTGTGTTGGTGTCGTGTGCGGGCCGGTCGCGACCCGGGATCGATCCCGCCGACCTGCGAAAGGTTATTGATGCCAAGCGGCGTGGAGAGGAGAACCTGCGGCTGAGCGGTCTGGGCTACACCATCATCCGCCCAGGTTGGTGAAGTGAAGTGAAGTGACGTCGCGGGGTGGGATGGGGGGTGGGGGGAAGGGGAAGGGGGTGACGTGCGGGGCGTGTGGATCGGGCGTGTGCTCGCCTAAGGAAGAGGAGGGGGTTTAGGGGGGGTGGGGGGATGGGGTAGGAAAATGCAACATGAAGGGTGTGCGGGGCCGGGGGGGTAAGGGTTGCTGCTGCTACTGGTGCTACTGCTGCTACTGCCACTGCTGCTGGAGAGTCCGGTCAGGTGGGTTCTTGGGGTCCATGTGTGTTTCATTCTGCGGGGGCGTCCACGTTGACGAGAGGAGGAAGGGCCCACGGAGCCCTCGCAGCGCGTCGCTCTTCTCCCCATACCGTAAAAATCACCCCCCACACCATAGAAATTATTCTCTATGCAGTTTATAAAAACACAGCTCTCACATGCGCCTTTCCTCATCACGCGCCGCGTCCTCCTCCCTATTTCTCCCCTTCCTCAGGCACGTTATTGGACGAGCCAGGTGGCTATAGGGCCCTCGTATTCGACCAGGGCGACCGCATCACGGAGTCCATTGCGGCCGCTGACGTGGCCGACATCTGTCTGAGGGCCTTACATGAGCCGGAGGGCCGCAACAAGACATTTGACGTGTGTTACGAATACCAGGTACTTACCTGCTGTGGGGGGGGGAGGAGGGGAGAGGGGGGAGGGGGTGGGGGGAGGTTGGGGATAGCGGTGGGGGAGTGGCCGAGGTAAGGGGAAGTTAGCGTGCCAACGTCCAAGGGGGGGGGGGGACAAAACCGAGGATTAGGGTTGCATCCACTTCCAAAACACACATTTACATAGCACAAAGGGCGCGCGGTGGTAGCTCTTTCAGCCCAGCGGTTGAGGTTATTTGAAATAGGGTTACGGACGAGGAGGGGCACGAGGAGGAAGGGGAGAAAGAGGGAAAGGGGAAGGGCACCGCTGAATCTATCTTGTCATATTCCTTGCGGAACCTGTGTGCGTGTGTGTCTGTGTCTGTGTGTCTGCCTGTGTGCGTGTGTGTGTGACATCGTGTTTGTGTCAACTGTTGTGTCCAGAGGTATCGACAACCTTGCTCCCATCTCGGCCCCCTCCCGCTCAGCTTTGGTCCCCTCGACCTCCTCCTGGCGGTGACCGCCCTTCCCTCCCTCCCTCCCCCCATCATCTTCACTCGCTCGTGGTTCGTCTTCCCTCCTTCCCCCTCCTTCCCTCCATCCCTCCCCCCTTCCCTCCATCCCTCCATCCCTCCCCCCCTCCCTTTCCCAGGTGGATGAGGACAACGCGCTGTATGAACTGGTGGCGCACGTTCCCGACAAGAGGAACAACTACCTGAAGGCCGCTGTGGCGTCTCTGGCCAGGAACACGTAAACGAACCCAACCCCCCGAGCCGTGGGCCCTCCTCCCCCCCCCCCCCGAGCCGCTCGGGGGTTTTAGGATGCGGAGTGCGGTAGCGCGTCGGCGGTTTTCGGCGCAACACGCGGGTGCTGCAGGACAGGCGAGGCGCCTGATGAGGCGATGACGATGAAGACGACGTTGAGGCGGGAGAGGATGGTGGCGCCCGAATGAATTGCCTTGTTGTTGGGTGTTGTGCTTTGGAAATGGAGGGGTCTACGGTTGCTATGGAAGCGTGTAACGTCTTGGGAAGGCGCGTAGGAAGGCCAAATCCAGCTCTCCCCCACCCCGTGGGTTGGGAAGAGGTGTCTGGTGACACGGTGGGGCTTAATTATTTCCCAATCTGTTCAAATGCGCCATCGGATGATGATGTGGGCGTTGCGAGTGGTGGCGGGAGTGTTCAGCGTTCGGGTGGCGGGTTTGATAGGGGCTTAGGGGGGCAGTGGGGCAGTGCGGCGGCTCTTTGACAGCGGCGGCGGCGGCGGCGGCGTCAAGATTGCCGCAGCTGTTATCGCTGATGCGCTGCTTGAGGAGGGTGGGTGGGATTGTTGCGGCATGCTGGTGATTGTGGAGGTCTTGCTTTCAAAGTCCGTTGCAGTGCGGATGGCGCTTTTTTGAGTCTGAGTGAGCGATATCCTTGGCATGTGTGAGGTCCTGTACCTGCTGTGTACATGGGATCCTTGCTGCGCAAATTGCTGTTGTGGCGGTGTAATGCAGGAAGGGTATCTGTGGGTAGATAGTTGTGGAGCTGAGCAGGAAAGCGGTAAGTGTTGTGCGCGGCTCGGCTCGCCTCGCTCGTGAAGCGTTCTGGAGTGTGCGGTGGAGCGGGAGGACGAGGAGAGGCATGCGCCTTAAAGAGGGAGAGAAGAAGAGAGAAGATAGAAGAATGCGTTGTTCTCTTTTTCCTGTGAGCGAAATTTTTTTGTAACTTGCGGCAATCGTGCCAGTGCAATCTAACCACAGGTCGCTGGGGGACAAAAATGGTCAGGTTGCGGCTGTTTGGCAAGGCGATACCAGGAGCGCGCACCTGACGACATAAAGGAGCTGTGCGCACGGGAAAGACGAGGAGGTTTTGACGGACAAGGTTAAGCGGTCTTAGGGAGATATCTGCGTTAGCCCGGTCGAGTTAGACCCTTGCTTTTGTGTGGGGATGGATGGTGAGGATGGTAGCCGACAGCAAGGTGGACCGCTCTGCTGTTGGTGCTCTTCGCGGCATATCTGCCAGCGCGATCGTTACACTTTTGCAGGGCATATCTGCGCTGTTCTGCTCGGAATTTTGTACAGTACTTCGCAGGCGTGGAGCAAGGAATACTGCACGTGATCGATTAAGTTTGGCTGCTTTTTATTCTGAGACTGGAAGTGCAGCTTTTTCCTTTTGTTGTAGATTTGTCGGGACGCCCTGCGGGCGAGGAATCCACGGACTATCCCCTTGGGTGTGGTGAGGGGAACACGTGTCGAGCATGTGGCGAGTGACGAGGATGTGAGAGTTCGCGGACTGGTCGAAGAAAACATGATTGTTTCTCCCGCCGGCGGGGGAGTGTTATGTAATGCTGCCAGATGGTGCCTCTGTTTGACTAAAAACTAGACACACACACACACACACCCCGTTTGCCGTATAGCGCACAGATTCCATGATTGTTCAGCTTACATGTCTGCGCCCAGCCGCGCGCAGGCTCCTCTCCTTCGGAACCACAAGACGCCCGTCACCGTACACATATCAACACATCAGGGTCTACAACCTTCGCACCGACATACACACTTCCAACGTATTTTGCACATTCACTCCGAGAGTCGACCCGGCTTCAACATGCGTATCGTTCGAGTGTTTTATCGTCGAGTGTACAGCAGTACACCGACATGAACAACCCAAAAGGCAATATGTACATTGTACACCATGTACGGTCCTTCCAGAACCGTCAAATTAGGCGTGCCAAGACAACGATGCACAAATAAGATTACACGACCAAATCCTTCGGCATACCGAAAGCTATATTCCTGACTCCACACACTTTCCTCGGGAGCGGGTGCATGGCCTAAGCCGTTCATTACGTCCATTCCTACACCCGAATTTCTACATCCGAGTTCCACTGAACCAGGCCCTCCCATCCACCCGTCCCCTCCTCTTTCAACCCCTCCATCACGCGCGCTGTGATGTCCTCCATTCCCCTCCCACCAGGGTTCTACTTTCCGTCAAAACCGGTGAGCTGTGCGCCCATGATGATGATGATACACTTTGATGGAGGAGTAAAAATGATGTGGGCTTTAGTAATAACGAAGGGCAGCAGAGGTGCTAGCAGCAGCAGGGATGGGCTACCCGTGCTTCCGTCCACACGCGCCCCCCCACTGCTGTACCGAAGTCCTTGCTGAACAACATTGCAACGCAGCCCGACACATGCCCAACGGCTTTCAACATCAGCCCCATGGACACAAGACATAATAGACAAAAACCATGGGGAGCTCCCCCCCCCCCCCCACACACACATACAGCTAACGGGTGAGCTACTCCCTCGTGGGTTTCGAAGGAAACCTCTGGGGCCAAGTTCCGTCGCTCTCAAAATTCCGATGCTGCTGTAGCTGTAGCTGTATCTGCTGCTGGGATAGCTGCTCCTCCTGTCCCTCGTATACTACATCGACGGCCACGGTGCCCGCACTGCCGCACATCTCCAGTAGTGGGCCAGGGAGAAGCGCCAGGGAGCGCTGCTGACCGCGCCATTAGATCCTTTTGCCGACGTCTGCACGCTGGGGGTTTGCAGCTCGCGGCCTCGACACTGCCCTCCGCCCCCGCACTGCAACTGCACACCCTCTCTCTCCTGCACTCTTCCCCACTTGCTTCTTCCGTACCGGCCTCCGCACTTCAAAAAAGTGAGGCACACTTCCCTTTCCTGCCTCACCGGTTCGCTACCATGGACTCGGCGTTCTTGACGAAGTCCTCCCCGCTCCATTCCGCGTCGTTGGCCAGACCGACTCGTTGCTTCTTGGCCCGGATGGATTCCCGCTGCCGGCTCACCAGCTCGCTGTGCACCGTCACGTACGGCAGCGACAAGCCCTTGAATTCGGCCACGCTCTTGAAACCGTGCTTCGTCATGAACCGCTGCAGGCCGCCGCACAGGTTCTTCACCACCGGGTAGCCGTGAATCATGACCCCAGTGCACACCTGCTCCAGGGGAGGAGGTGAGATGGAGGTCAAGGGAAATGGAGAAGGGGGCTGCCGTGGGTGACAACATAAGACGGTGGAAACGTGTGATTTAGGCGATTAAGGAAAACGTGCGGACATCACACACGCACACACAGACAGACAGACAGACAGACAGACAGACACGTGGGAGGTGTATTCGTAGCCACGGGTGGGAATGTGTGATTTTATGTGTCAACGTGATGAAATGAGCTGACTTCCGAAGGGTGTGGGTGTGGGTGAAGACCGGAGAGGGTCACAGGCCAAGGCAATGTTCCCCCGCACGTTCCCCCCCTGTTAAGCAGCAGGTGGACCAGCGGCCAACCAAGTTACCAACAACAACACGACTACAGCAGGTGAAAAGAGTGAAGGTAGAAAAGGGGCCCCGAAGTTTGACGAGGGGGGGAAACGACCCGCGGATGAATTGGAGAAGCAAGCAAAAGGGAGTGCGCCAGCAAGACAGCAAGACAACAAGGAGCAACAGGAACATCAAAGGCCGATCAGTACCCGTCAGTCAAGCAAAGCGGGGATGGGCAGGCGGGCCTAGATAAAAACAACCTAAGAACAACCATAAGAACTAGTATTGTTTTCAATGTGTGTCCCCGTTCTCGGTGGAACGGGGACACGCACAGAGAGGCATGCAGACACCACCTGCGAGAGAGCAGAGAGCGGAGACGGGTGCAGCCATCGAGGACTCGGGACCATGCGCCCCCAGGAGCAACACAACAACAATGGGACGGAGCGGAGGGGCGGAGAGCGACAGTCGGCCGGCAGCATGCCGGCACCGCAGACCCCGCCCCTCCCTCCCTCCTCTCCCTCCCTCCTGCTCTCCCTTCCCTCCGCCCCTGCCCCCTTCCCTCCCCTCTTCCCTCTCCCCTTCCCTCCTGCCCTCCCTCCCTCCCCCCTGCCCTCCCTCCCCCACACGCGTTCTCGCACCTGCACTGTATCAGAGCCCAGCAGAATGAACTCAGCCGCATCGGCGCCCGTCTCAACACCGCCAATGCCCGACAGCGACTTGCCCTCCCCAGCAAAGTCCCGCTGAATGGTCTTGGCGATGGCGGTGCACTTGGCCAGCGCGATGGGCTTGACGGCCTTCCAGGAGTATCCCCCCGGCGTTGTGTAGCCCTCCACGGAGGGCTCGGGGCGCAGCGTGTCCAGGTTGACTCCTGCAGGGGGGAAAGACGAACAACGAGAGAGTGAAGCTGATGCCAAGGGGGGGAGGGGGACAGGTTGCCGTCATCATGCCATATCCGGGGTTGCGGTGGAGTGGCGGGAAACCTGAAGCTGCAGGCTGCAGCCGTCAAGTGGTTTAGCAGAGCTGTAATTGGCGGTCTTTAGCGGGGTTGTTTTTGCCTGAGGAGAAGTAATAAAATAAACCATAATGGCGTCTGAAGGAGGGAGGGTCTGCTGGGCTCTGTACCAGACCGTGTGCTCCCTACGCTGCTATAGCCCTCCATGTGCACACATCCATCCATCCGATCCCTCGCACCCCAACACGAGGTCGACTCACCCATAATGCAGGATATGGTGTTGATCGCGGCGACGCCCTCACACCCGGCTGCAAGCGCCACCGCGGCGGGGTAGGCGATGTCCGTCACGTTGGGCGTCATCTTGGCCCACACGGGCTTAGTGGCGGCTGCGTTGATCCAGCCGCACACCTCCCCAAGCACCTCCGGGTCTTGCCCCATCGCCATACCCATCCTGAGGGGGGAACGCCAATTGCACGCACAAAACACACGGCGCGCGGTTTTGGGGTTAGGAATTCGGAAGCCCGGTAGGGTCCGATGATACGAAAGAACGGAAAAGACGTGGACGATACAGTACAGCAGTACAGCAGCACCGCAGTACTAGGGAAGATAATTGGGCCCTTCCGGAGGCTTTGGTCTCCGGCGCCTCCTACTACACGACCATCCCCTTTTTAATATCATCATCGTCATTTGGTAATGGACTCTGTCCCCTGTTGCTCGGGTCCCTGGCCCCACAAAATCATTCAAACTCGCGCACGCATGTCCACATCCACATCATACACCTCCCTATGAACTGAAGGAACGCACGCACGCACGCGGGGTGTGGGGTGTGGTTCATCGCACGCACGCGAAAAAGAAAAGACACGTGGAAAGCACATACATACATACATACATACATACATACGCACACCACATATTTACAGCCAGGTGCACGTGCCCGACGCGCACCTGCGCTCCGGAAGGCCGTGTGGGCAGCTGAAGTTGATTTCAAACGCGTCCACGTTGATTTCCTCGCACCTCCCGATGATCTCCTCCCAGGCGTTCTTGCTGTGGTGGGGTGGGGTGGGGAGGTGGGGGCGGGTGGGGGGCCCGGGGGAGAAGACCAAGCAGGAGGGAGTGGTGGGGTGGGGTGGGCGGGTGGGGAAAGACGAACCACGTGAGCGAGTGAAGGTGATGCCAAGGAAAAAATTGATGCGCCAGTAAAGAAGTAAAGAAAGCAGAACTAACCAGTCGGCGGCTGTTGGGGGAATGGGGTGGGTGGCGGGGCGGGGGGTGCCGGGGAGAGAGGACCAAGCACGAACGAGTGATGCTGGGTTGTCGGGGGGGGCCCGAGGCACGGGTTGTCCCGAGGGGCAGGTGTTGTGGAGAGCTTGGAAGAAGAGGAGTGGATGTGTGCGGACATGTGTGTGTGGGGGTAGGGGTTGGGGTTGGTGGCTCCCACCTGGGTCCGACCCGGAGCGACAACCGCCCTAAGCCCCCCTAAAATCATGAATGCGTTTGTTTTCGTCTTCGTCATAGAAAAGAGACACAAGCAGACACAAGATACAGACCTAACCCCAACCATATCGGACTCGCACACATGCCACCCACCTACACTTGTAACCATTCACCCGTTCACCGGCCAACGTTTCCTTTGTAAACTTAAAAAAAAACTACCAGCACATCCCCTCTTTTCCCCCCCCCCTTTCCTCCCCCCCCCCCACACACAACCCCCGCAATCCCCTCAGCTCCGACCCACTTGTATTCCTCCATGATGGAGGCGATGAGTACGCGGTTGGGGTACTCCTCGCGCAGCCGCTTCATCTCGGCTATCATGACGTCGAAGGGCCGGTCGGAGATGAGCTCGAAGTTCTGCCACCCGAACACCCGGCTGGAGTAGTCTCGCAGCTTGGCGTACCGGGGCGTCACGTTGACCACCTTGGAGGAGTCCAGGGAGAGCGTCTGCGGGCGATATGGGCATCACGATGTGAGTATGTTTGATGTTTTTTTATACAAGTTACAAGTTACAAGTTCCGCACACAAGTGCAGGTGTGTCCGTAAAATCCGGGGGGGCCATGGACGTTGTATTGGTATTGATGCGGATGTTTTTTTTCATATATGTAAAGGTTTTTTATATGTGGTTGGGCCGGGGGTACATCCCAGGTGTATGGTCAGTTAGGGTGTACGTTATACGGTTGGGTGAGGCCAGGGTGTGCCAGCGGGTTGCGGTTATATTCGCACGGCCGTGTGCATGTACATGTGCGTGTGCATGTGCGCTGTACATAGGAGATTTGTTTGTTGGAGAGAAAAGAGACTGCATGTGAAGGACGTAAGCGTTGAAGCACTCGGAACTGCACGGGGAACGGGAAATGTCATGATTGGCGTTTTGCCGTACTCATGACGCCACGTCATGGTGGTTCTGGTGGTGCTGTGTTGTTTTTTTGCGTGCCGTGGTGTCAGTCACGTGTCATGGTGCGGCTGACGAAGGGGGTGACGAGGGGTGGAGTGAGAGGGGGCATGTGGGTTTTGTTTTGTGGCTCAGCCCGGTGGTAGGGTGCGTTTGGACGAAACACATACGGCACGCAATTGGGGACTGTCCATAGTGGGTGGTGTCGATCGCGGCGGTCCTTGAGGGGCAGCTTCTCCTAGCTTGGTAAGGCCCGGGATTTACTTTTATGTTCCATCTGGTTGAAGCGACGGAGGTTTCTAAGACAAGACACGATATGGGAGGTTATGGCGCACGCGGCGCCCATGTGGCAGTTGGGAAAAGTCATGTTCCTTCGGAACCAAGGCTGATGCAAGGTGATGTTCCCACAGGAGTTAAGAGAGCCTGGAGCGAGCTGCTGTTTGCGCTCACCTTGCAGATGACGCCACCCCAGCCCTCGTCAAAGGCCTTCTTCATGACCTGGTAGTTGGTCCCGGGCGGGCCGCTGCCAATAATGAAAGGGTTAGGCAGCTTCATGCCGTTGACTTCCACAGACAGGTCCTGCGACAACACGAGCAGCACGGCGACAACACAATCCTTAGGCTGGGATGGGCAGGAACCTGAGGACATGCAGCGACACAAAGGCACGAAAGATACATGCGCCCAACAGATAAGATGCAATCCTTCAATATCATGGTTCAAACGCCTGACGGCACTTGTTCGAAAGCAATCCTTGGTAGGACAAGCACGAGGATAGATCAGGAGCCCTTCATCCCAAACCTCACCGGTCCGCTTGTTACACGGCCATCGACAAGCTCAATTGGCTCATCAAGCCCAAATCCAGAAGCGCCCAATCCATTGTTAGTTGCTGCCCGGGGAACGACACACTTGTAAGGTCTCCTCGCACAAGACACGCGTCTGTGAAGCTGGCCACTCCGAACACCCGAATACTTCTGCTGAAGCATCATTAAGAAGCGGAAAACTCCAAGGGATGAAAACAACTATGTCCCGGAGGCACAAGGAAAGAACCCTTGTTGGAGCAAAGCAACCTTGTCTCTTGTATGAGCACGTAGACAGAAGTAAGAATGAATCTGACTACAAAATTATTACAGCTGTATGTTAAAGGCATCTGTTGCGTGTCTGCATATTTTCTCAGATGAAGCGAGTGTCAACCGACTGCCACGTACACTCCCTCGCGGAGGTCCAAGATCCGCTATCGTCCTATCGACACATTTGTTTTTCAGTCATTCGATTGGCACAATGGTCAATAAACAATACAAATCAGATCAGCGTGCAAGCATTACTCTTATACAGCGAGCGCTCGTTGCAGTGACAGTTGGAATGGGTCTGTCTATGGCAACACCCCGGCAAATGTATCAAATCACCCCACAATTCATCTTTTGGCCATCCTGCGACACTCTGCATCATTATGCACAATGGAGCGGTTCAACTCCGGCACCTAACTCCCAAATCCTCATCAACACTAACAAGGCCGGGAAGGGCCGGGAAGCGCAGAGAAGCGCCATCCACGTTAACCCGGCTCCATCCTGATTTATGTCCGTCCTGTATCCAAAGACTCTCCAGCCTTCAAATGCTAGCGAGCAGCATTCGTCCCTTGTTGCCGCAGGTATGCATGCCGTCAGGGTAAGTAATTAATACGAGGTGGTAGCGCCTTTCAAAGTAATTTGAATGTCGCCGTCTGCCGTGCTGCGACCTGCGGGCACGTAGGCCTGCAAGTCGGACAGACCCCTCTCTGCTAGTGATCGGCAGTGTGCGATACGATCTGGGTCAGCCAAACTCTGCGGGACAGAGGGACAACAGCGCGGCCTTGGGTGTCATGGCCACTGCTTGCACTTAAAACGAGGGGACAGATCTTGCTCGTGGAAATAAATCGCGTGCAGTAAATTTCGTGCTGGGAATGTGGAGCTAGGAATGCGATCCATAGCTGTTTACTGATGCCTGAAACGGAATAGGACGTGCGGAAGGTTAGTCAATTTGTGGTCGTTGCTAGTGCAAAAGGGCCCCACGCCAGAAACCCTAGCACAGGAAGGGCGCCTCTGTGCGACACGTTGGGGCACATGAAATTTTCCCAGCTGCGGTGTGCTCAGGGAATCTCACCCAGTTGCCCGGCACATATCAAGCCCCACGCCGGCTCGACGTTCCCCATATCCCAATCAACATTTACTAATTCCACCGGTAGGTCTGACGATGGATGGCCTACCTTGTTTGCATGGAACTCTGCTTTAATTTCCCTGATAATGCTATCCCTCTTCCTGCTTGGAAAATACTTGGCTGCCTTTAATATCTGACGATAGAGACTCAAGATCGTGCTAGGGCTACAGCTCATGTTAATGCTGAGGCACGCTGCGGGCTCAAATTGCCAGATGCCCAACCAAATCGCGCTTCCGAAAGCCCTAATAAGGATCAACATAAATCAGTATTATATGCAGGTGGCATACACATTGAAAAAATGTACATAGACTGCCGGCGCCATTGCGCGGTTTCACGCCGTACCGCGAGAGCTTGCTTGGTTTAGTTTCGAGCTGTGCTCTTTCCGCTTTTCGAGAGAGGCAAAACATATTGCTTGTGAAGATTACCGAAGCTCTTTTAAAGGTTAGGAAAAAAGCATGGCATATCCTAATACCTAAATGCATGTGCTTGTTTTTCGAATAGATGCTTACTATGTGAGCTGTGTACTACTATCAATCGGATTAAGGAGATGTGCTTATGATCTTGTTCCCAAGTCATGGACCTCGAGGCAGTTGGCTGGGTGAGGAACATTAATTGGATATCGTTAGACGGGCCCTTGCAGGAATGTTACAAAACTTAAGCGCAATGGTTGCCATGGCTATTCATAGCTTGCGGAGCTCAGTCGTTGGCCATAACCTGCTCAACTTACCCCGCCATCGCAGCGTCCCGCGCGTCGCCTGAGGCATGTAACTGCTGTATGCCTGCATAACTTGTACGATCCCGCATTCGATGGAGCTTCCGGCTACTTCTACGAGCTTTGCACCTGGGACGCGCAGCAATGGGCCTGGTCGCGGTTTTACCGCAGCGAGCAGGTACAAGACACCTTCTTCCCCACCTCACATACTCACGCAGCACAGTTCCCCTGGTACCTTTGATGGCATACCCTCCTCCTTCCCACCGTCATGTTTCCATGCTCATATCACAACTCCGTTGCCTGACCGTGGCTTCTTCCGACAGCCCGTCCTTGTAATCTCGCATTCCTCCCGTGCAGCTCGCGAACAACCGCGACCTTGACTGGGCCCGACAGCGCCTGGATCCGGACACCGAAACCATGCTTCAGGGCGTTCACCACCGCCCCGATGTGGGTCCGCTGCGCCTGCGGGTATACGCGACTTGCAACGACTCTACCGCCCCTAAAAGCAACTCTACCACCGTCGCCACGACACTGCGTCCCAGCAGTGGCTCCTGGCCTGTTGGTCAAAACGCTGCTGACGCTGCTGCTGCTGCCGACGACGACGACGACGACGTGCTGCCCAACCGGTCCTCCTCTGATTACGAAGCGCAGCACTTGCCGCGTCTTCGGCGACAAGCTGACTGCTGCATCGCACGTAACGGTGTTGGCATGGCCCACGTTCTGCGGCCACCACTGCAGCCATCACCACCGCCGCTGCCGCTGCTACCGCAGCCGCACACAGCAGCTAGGCTGAGTCCGGTTCACGTCAGCGCGGCCGGGGACAGCAGTGGCACAGCAGGCAATGACGGCGTATCTGGCCAATGCTGGGAGCAGTCGCGGCTGGGGGTGGGGCTCGGGACGATATGCACGAGCACGGAGCCTTTGGAGGCGGTGGTGGAGCGCTCTTGGGGCAAGGTTTCGGGGCCAGGGCCGCCAAGCCTGCAATTGCAGCAGCAGTCTCATCAACAGCCTGACTTGCAGACCGACATCACCTCAGCGTTCGGCGCACCGGCGGCCATGCAGCAAAGCCGCGAAGGGTCGGGCGGAGAGGATACATATCAGGGTGATAAGGTGCAGCTGGGGCAAGGGCAGAGGCAGGGGCAGGGGGAAACAAAGCATGTAACAAGGCAGCAGGGCGATGTCCATATGCCTAGGGAACGGGATCATCAGCGGCAGCAACAGCAGCAGGAAGTGGAGAAGGAGGAACAACAACAGCAGCAGCAGGAGCAGGATGGCCGGTACACGGTGGTGTGCGCAGGATCACTCAGAGCTCAAAACCCCGCAGGCGCCTGTCCGGATGCAGATGTGGTTGCGGCAACTGCTGAGGTGATGCCGGCGCCACCTGCGAGCCCCGGCGGTCCTAATGGCACCTGCAGCAGCGGACCCGGACCTGGAGCCAGCAGCGCCTGCAGCGGCAGCAGCAGTCGGAGCAGGAGCAGCGACTTTGGGGCTGTTCGGAAGGAGGTCTCTGCGGGGCAGTTGTCCAATGGCGGCGGATCCGGACCTGGTAGCTGCGAGGCGGATATAGGGGCGGTGGATGTAGGGGCGGCGTCGGAGGCGAACTGCGTCGGAGGAAATCTGCACGGCCGTGCTGCGGTGGCGGCAGCGGCCTCTGTTGCTGCTGTTGCTTCTGCGCTGCCGCAGCTGTTGGATGCTCCTGCTCCTCCTTGGGAAGGGTCTAGGGGAAATGCAGGGGGCGGCCAGGCGGCGCCCGACGGCGGTGGTTTCACGTGTAGAAGAAAGCACCAGGAGCAGGAACAGGAGCCGGAGCCGGGGCAGGGCCCGCAGCCGCCAAGGCTCCAGCTGGACTGGGACATGAAGATGGCGCCTGGCGTGCAGCGGCAAACTTGCGAAGCAGAAGACCCAGTATCAGTCCGGGTGGACGAGACGGACCCCCAGCCTACGCCTCCCACCGAACCGGCGCAACCGGCCGAAGCTGCGACTGCGACAGGTCCCTCCTCTACGTCTTCATCGTCGTCGTCCACGTCTTCCTCTCCTGCTTGCTCCCTTTCCTCCCCCTCCTGTCCCCCGGGATCCGTTACTGTCGGCGAACTTTCCGCCGTAGGAGGGTCTCTTCTTGGAGTCAGGGAGGTGCAGCACGTCGTCGTCTGTGCCCATCCCACGGAGGTGGGCTGCGCTGGCGGTAGCGGTGGTGATGTTGGCCGTGGTGGCGGTGGTGGTGTGGGCGGCGGCCCCACACCAGAGCAAGCAGCGCTGCAGGAGCCCGAGGACGACGGCGGCATTGGCCACCAGGAGGGGGGTTACAGCGACGTGGGGGAGCAGTGTGACGGGGAACATGAGAGATACCGGATGAATGAGGAACGATATGGTGGGGACGAGGAGGGCGTACGGTGGGGAGAGGAGGAGGGCAGCTATGATGGTGGTGATGGCAGCGGTGACGGCGGCGGCATGCGGCTATTAGTGGAGCACGTCTTTGAGCTGAGGGAGCTGGTGTTCCTGGGTAGGTAGAATCAGTGACCCACGGGTCGGCCAGATGTTGGAAGGAACATCCGTTAGTGCGTCGTGCGTTCCTCAACTGCGCCATCTTCCCAGATATCATCGCATTGGATCTGTCTGACAGGCTTCTCACTCGTCTAATAAAAAAATCGGCTCTGGGTTTCGGAGCGTTAGAATTTTGGTTCCAACACACAGCTGAAGAGGAAGTCTGCGTTGGCCGTCGGTGCACATCCCCTCCCTGCTGCCGCAAGTCTCTTGACCCTTATCTCTCATCTCTTATCTCTTGTCTCCCTCTTTTCTTTTTGCAGATCCCCGAATGCTGCGGCACGGCTGGTATATCAACCTCCCGCTGCTACTTATGGAGCCGGGTCGGCAGCCCTTCGTCCCACCCTGCGCCCTGCCACCACCACCGCCGCCGCCACGGCCACCACCGGTGCGGCAGCCGCCATCCTCCACAGCTCCTGCAGCGAACGCCAGCGGCGGCGGCGGCGGTGGCGGCGGCGGACCCTCTACGGCCCGGTGGCGCTTCGGCGCTCTCCACGGCGGCAGCGGCGGCGGCGGCAGCGCTACAGGCTGGTTGGGGTACGACACCACCGCGACGAATGGGGATCGTGGGGCTGGCGGGCTGGTTCGTGGCGCCAGCAGCTGGGTGACGGAGGCGGTACGTGCGGCTCGGGTAGAGCGTTCGGAGGACGATAAGCGGGCGCTGCTCAGGTGCGAGGTGTGGGGTGGCGAGGGGGGGAGTTGAGGGGGCAAGAGGGGGGTGGGGGTTGAATGGGAGGGAAAGTAGGGCGAAAGGTCGTTGCGGAGGGTGGGATGGGAAAGGTTCGGCCAGGTTGGTTATCTGGTAGGGTGGTCGCCTCGTCATCGAGTGCCCTGCCGCCGCTTTCTTTCAAGGGGGGGGGTGGGGGAGGGAGATGGTGCGGCTTTGGTTGGCGCTCATGTCTGGGTCGGTCAGTCGGCCTTTGTGGCGCTCATTTGGCAGGACGCTCTAAAAGTTCTGTCGTTCTGTGTTCCTGGCATTCAGGCGGGATGGGGCTTATGGAGAGCACGGAGAGGCCACCCGCTGAAGCTGTCTAGACAGGCAGACAGACAGATAGACAGATAGGCAGACAGACAGACAGATAGACAGACAGTCAGACCCAATCTCTGCCTTGTTATGTCCTGTAGCATTGCCTTCTTGGTTGCCCTGGTGGCCGGTACCCTGATGGTGTGTGCATGTGTGTTTCTGCTTACCTATCCCCGCCGCGCGCCCATTTGCCGACCCACCTGACTTTGCATGTCTTTCCTCCGTCGCCCGCGAAGCAGATGGCTGCTCAGCAGCAGCAGCGTCGTACAGCCGCTACAGGCCGTTGGCAGCCTAGAGGAGGAGCTCCAAAATGATGATTTCCTAGCGTCAGCAGCGGCGGCGGCGGAGCCCGCCGCCACCTCTGCCGTACCGGCCGACGGCCGACACCTCCACTCTCCACACCTCCATCACGCGCACCATGTTCACCTGCGTCCGCCCGCCCTACACCATACCGGTAACGCCAACCCCCATCAACGGTCTCTCAGCGCTGCCGACGCCGCGGCACTTTTGGATCCCGGGCCCATCCCCGGCTTTCTCCCGAGCGCCCTAGCGGTTCTCTTCCGGCAGGAATGGCCTTGGGGTTCTGCTGCTGCCGCGGCGGCTGCAATAGCGCCGCCGGCGGGGCCGCCCGGTTTACGGCAGTCTTCCTCAAGACAAGGGTTGGAACAGCCTCTGCCGCCGACGGCGGCGACGCCGGCAGCGGCGGCGGCCGCGTCGGAGCGGGGTTCGTGCGGCAGAGCTTCACCAGGTAGCCGCCGGGTAGCGAGCACGCCTTCATTGGCTGTGGTGGCAGAGGTGGAAGCGGATGCGGAAGCGGCGGAGGTGACCGTGGACAGCGCGCCAGGCGCGGGTCGCCTCGCAGGAAGCGCAGCGACCCTTGGGTCGCTCCTGCGCCCTTCTGGGGGCTCAGCCGGGGACTTTGTGCGCACCTGGAGCGGCGGCGACGCCGATAGTGGTAGCCTGTCGGCGCCGGCGTCACCTAGCTCCTCTGCAGTGTCGTACATCGCCGCGGCGGCCGCGGCCGCCGCGGCGACGTTGGGGGGCCCTGCTGCCGCATCATCGCTTGCCTCCGACGGCGGAAGCCAGACGTCACTGACCAGCTTGGCAGGTGGCCGAGCAGCCTCGCCGTCGCTGCCGTCGCCGTCAGGAACTAACAATCAGGAGCTGCCTTCAGAAGGCCTGGCGGCCGTACAGCACTCCTGGCTGCCTGCCGCGCTGCTGCCACCCCGGCGCCCGGCGTCAAGGTCTCTTCGCCCCTTCGCCTCCTCTGGGCAATTGACGGGAGGAGGAGCAGCCGCCGGCGGCGGCGGCAGCGGCGGCGCAGGCCCAACCGCCGGGCTGACGGCAGGGGACAGCCAGCCGCCGCTGATCGATTCCGCCGCCGCCAAGCGCGGCCCTGCTGCCGCTGCCGCTGCCGTCAGGGGCAGAAAGAGGGCGCCGTTAGGCAGAGGCCCCGCGCCTCAATCTGCAGCGGCGGCGCCGCCGACAAACCATTATCATAACCATCATAACCACCACAACCGTGGCCAAGGACACAACCACCAGCCGTACTTCGCCGCCGCCGCCGCTGCCACCTCGACTGCGGCCGCCGCCGTCGCGCCTTCCGTACAGCGGCTGTGCGAGCTGGTGGAGGTGCGCGCCAACATCGGGAAGTTGACGCAGCTACAGGTAGGCGTCTTCTCTTTTTTTATGATACATACATACATACATACATACTCCTCCTCAAGGCTTCACCCCGAAGTCCCCCCGTACCCCCGTACGGAAGAACCCAATGGGCCTAACCCGGGCTAGCCGTGCCCGCCCCAGGCCTGCCTCCAATCCATGCAAGCCCCTCGACCCCCCTGGTTCCCGTCCCCTCACCCCACAACCCCTTAACCCTAAACGCACTCACATGCACCACCCCAGGAACGCCTAACGGCTACGCGTGCTGGCGCCCTGGGCGTGCGGCGGCGGCTGGAGGCGGCGGCGGAGCGACGGCACCTGCTGGATGACGTGCGAGCTAGGGCAGAGGCCGTGAGGTGCCTGGGGGCCCCGGGGGGGGGGAAGAGGGGTAAAGGGCCGCGCGCTGCTTGCGGTGCGGTGCATGGTACGCGCTGGCCCCCGACGCTTTCACTGCCCGCTCGGACTGCCGACTTGTTTTGTGGCTTATACCGTTGCGTGTTCGTTTGTTCGTTGTTCGTTTGATCGTTTGTACTTCCTGAGTTGTACATTGGGAAATGCTCCTTTTGTCGCTTTCACATCGTGCATGAGCGTAAGTAATGGGGTAGCTCGCAAACTCCCCCCCTTAACACACACACACACACATCATGTAGCTTGGATAAGCAAAAAAATGGGGAGTCCGCGGCCCGGTCCTGAAATGAAGCGGCGCATTTTGCTTTTGTCTGTCTGGATAGGGCTGAGTGCTGCTGGCTACTGGTGCCGGTGCTACGTCGCTGCTACTGCTGTTTTCCTGACAGAGCCGCTGTGTCATATGTGTGTGTGGTTGCCGAGCTACTTTTTGTTGTTGTTGTTGTTGTTGTTGTTGCAGGGTGGAGGGGCGCGGGTGGTCGGTCCGGGTGGACGGGATGGAGGCGCAGCTGCGCGCCATGCGCGCGGAAGCGGTTCGGCGGCGTCATGAGCTTCATGACCGAGCTCGCGCTCTGGAGACAGCGGCCCGAGTGCTGCAGGTACGGATATGGCGTGGGAGGTAGGGTGTGGGGGGAGGTAGGGCGTGGGGGGAGGTAGGGCGGGAGATATGACTACTTGGTTAGTTGTGTGCCCGGTGGCGATGCTGGTGCTGGTGCTGCTGGTGTGCGTTTTATGTAATTAATGTAAGTATGTGAGTGAATGTGGCACCATTATTCTCCAACGGAGTTTATATGTTCTTCCATGTTTTCCTTTTTTTTCGCAATCCGCCGCCTTCTCCCCCCGTCACCTGCTATCTCCTCCCTTCCCCCCGTTGTGATGTCTTTGCAATGTCGTACACTCTTTCATGAAGGCGGCTGAGCAGCGGCGGCTAAGTGCTCTGGAGCAGCTCGAAGGACCGTCGGGTCGGGGCCACTTGGCGGAGCTGACGGCGGCGCTGGCTGGACGTAGGAATCGCCTGGTTTCGGAGCTGGGACGGATATTCCAGGTGCTGCCTACATGCGCCTCCCTCCGCTGCCCCCTTCCTTGTTGCTTCTCGTCTCGCATATGGCTTCCCCTCCTCCCGTCCCTCCTCCCCCCTTCCTCCCTTCACTTGCTCGTGGTTCGTCTTCCCCCCTCCTCCCGTCCTCCTCTCATCTCTCCCTCCTCATCCCTCGCCTCAACCTGCTCCTCAGATTGGGCCCATCAGTGAGTCCCTTTTGGATCCGGATCCGCTGGATCAAACCCTAGACAGCAGCTGGGCGGGGGAGTGGGCCAGAACGGCGGGGGACTGGGACCGCCAGACACAACAGCACCCGCAGCCGCAGCGGGAGGAGAAGGCCAGCGGGGGAAAGCAGGGCGCGGAGGAAGATGGGCATCCAGGGGGCGGCGGAGGCGGCGGGGCCGAGGGGGGGCCCCAGACGCGCCAGGGCGGGGAGGAGGAGCGGGCGGCGGGCCAGCAGACACCAGAAGGGACCGAGGGGGCGGCAATGGCAGTGTCGGCGCCGTCGGGATCAGCCTCTCTCTCTGGAAAGCTTCGTGGGAGCAATGGTGGCGGCGGCGGTGGCGGCGGCGGCCCGGCTCTTGGCGGTGGTAGGGGTGGTGACGGTGGTGGTGGTCCCACACGGCTGGCGATAATGGGTTTGGAGCTCCCCCCGAACTTGATCGAACGCAGCCTCCACGGTACGGCAGTTTGGGATGGGGTATTGCTGCTGATGGTGGTGGTGCTGCTGCTGCTGATGTATGTATGTCTATATGTATGTACGTATGTATGTGTTTCTGCTGGCTTCTCAAATTGTATTCCCACTTCACCTGCAGGATCCGTCGGTTGGTCGCCGTTGGATCTAGGCCGACGGTACGATGCGGACCAGCGTACGGCAGCCGGTCTCGGCTACCTGGCGGCCATTGTGGACCTGGCGGCCACCTACCTCGGCGTGCCCCTCCGCTACCCGATCGCGCCACGTGTATCTGTGTCGTACATCTCAGATCCCGTGCCGCCCAGTGCAAGCGTGCGATCGGGGGCAGCCGCCCCGGTGGCGGCGGTGGCGCCGCTGGCGGCGGCGGCGCTGCCAGGCGCCGGAGGCGCCGGCGCAGCGGCCGCCGCCGGCCGGGGAGCCGAGTGGAGGCTCTTGACCATCGCGACGGGCTCCCTGAACGCCGTTGCGGCGGCCGCCGGCCCCGCGCCGCCGCCGCTTCCGGCGCCGCCGCCATTCGCCGTCGGCCTCATTCCGGGACCCCGCGGCGTCGGCGTCGGTGGCCGGCTTGCGGTTTTCTCTTCAATACTCAACGCAAATCTGGACCCATGGGTCGCGACCACACCCGCCGGCGCCGTTGGCGACGACGCCCACCCTGTCGGTCTTAACCCAGCTGCCGGGCTGCCGCTGTTCTGGGGCGACGGCGCCCGCGACCGCACGCGCTTCGCCTACGCGGTTTACTTGCTGAGCAAAGACGTGGAGCAGCTCCTGGAGTCTCACGGCATTCCGCCTATCGCACCCAACCAGCCGCTACCGAATCTGTACGTCCTCATCTCCGCAGCGGCCTCGGGAGTATCCCGCCGCGCTGGGCGCGGCGGCGGCGGCGTTGGTGGCGTTGGTGGTAGCGGCACTAGCAGATAGCCATGTTAGCCGTGACGGCGGCGGCGGCGGCACCAGCGTTGCAGTGGTACTGAGCTGAGCTGAGCTGTCATACACAGCGGGCCTTGCTTTCAGGCTTTTGCCAGGGCCTGTATGGGGCACTTGGCCGCGTTGTCGTTTCGTGCGGGGGTGCGTTTTGAGCTTTTTTTTGGACCCCTAAACAATGCTAAAAGGATGCGTCAGAAAGTATGAACTCGCATTGTAATGGTCATGGTGATGGTAACGATGGTGAAAATGGCTTTTAGCCGCCGTTGTAGCTGTGTTGTGACAGCACTGCTCCTGTGGTGCTGGGGTTTAAGTCGCAGTTCCGCTACAGCAGGCCGCCGGGAAAGGAAAACGCTGCACAAGACCAGTATGCCTACGCACCATCGAAGAAGGTCGCCAGCGAAAGATGCCCGCGCTACATTATACGCAAGTCCAGATCGCCGTGTATGCGACCGGAGCGCTGAAGTGCGTGTACCTGCAGTACGTGTTTGACGAGGTGACGAGCGCCCGCGTCATCGACTCTGGGTAACGAGTGGCTGAGCGTTGCCCTTGGTGCTAGGCCAGGAGGCGTTTGAGGGCAAAGAGGGCGGCATCGCAGGCAGCGTATGGCGCTAGTATTGTTACACCCGGGGCATCACGCCACCTCAGAATGCTGCAGCTGTCCCATCTTGGACTGTCCGGATTGGTGGCGCCCCTTCGATTACGGAGTTCTCTCTTCTCAAGCTTCCACATGGCGCGTCTCCTAACAAATGGGCGGAGTTGCAGGGCGAACAGGCCTGGTGTGACCGCGAACTTCTGCACCATACGTGCAAATTATTGCCAAGCTGGACTCTGAAAATAAAAAAACACGGATTCAGGATTGCCTCTTAACTTATCGAGCACGAATATTAAATGGCAGGACGGTGGCCGTCCTCCGTTTCTCGACAGACATACCGACGTCACCTCGTAACCTTACCTTGCCACTTGTTCATACAGCCCTTACAGGCTTCCTTTGGCTGAAAGAAAATGGCGTGCTCGCCAACGAAATGCACGGACGCGGCGGGCAGCTACGTCACAGTGCAATATTATGCACGTTCCACAGCCATTGTAGCTTTCAGAAACGGAAACGCATGATCCTCGCTAGTTTTAATGCATGCGTGGGCGGCTGGCCATCACATATTCCATGCAAAGCGACGTACCCGGCTCCCTCTTAAGCTGTGCTTCCACAGATACATAAAAAAAACACCGCACGCCATGTTCTCATTTGCCAAGCGAGCCACGTTGAAGGCCAGTCCCCTTTAGTTTCCCCCTTTAGGCGAACAGCTAAGGTGGCCCAACCTCGAGTGGCCCAACCACGAGTTTGACGGGATCGCCCAGCTGGCCGTGTGTGTATATCGGGTAATCTCCCCTCTTGACATGTGTGGTCCCCTTCCAGCGCACTGGCCTCGAGAGTACCAATCTTCGCGGTCTTCATGGCGCTGGCGAAACACAGCTTCCTTGCTACTTCCATAGTCGCGGTCTGCTACTTCCATAGCTCCTGAGAGCCCCCATGCCACTGCCACACTATGCCAGCAACGGCATCAAACAACAGAAGTCTGCACTGTACGCACCACAGCAAACACATGGAGATATGTAGAGCAGCTGAACAGGGCGCTCCTGCAGGAAACATGGACGGTGTTTATGATAAGCGTGCAAGCTGCCGACGGGGGCTGTGGTCATTGGCTGTTGTGAGCCCTACGATTTACACTTGGACATGAACCTGGTTTCGGAGGAGGAGGTGCAGTGCAGCAGCATCTGGATTATGCAGAGGGTGATTCGGGAGCATGCAAGCTGGAGAAGGCCTTGTATGGGCAGAAACAGGCCCAGCACGCGTGGTATACGTACTCTTGAAGGGAGGAGCTTGAGCTGGTGGGCTTCAAGGTTTCACAGGCCGATCCAGGCCTGTTCCTCAAGTCCACAGGATGTGGAGCGAAAGCACACGTGTGCACATGCTGGTCTACATAAATAGTTTGCTGGTTGTGGTGATGGTGAGCTATTCCATTGTCGAAAAGGCCAAGGAAAGGTTGGATTACGCGTGAGACGGCCGGGACCTGGGGAAGGCTTGGGTGTTTCTTGGCTATACGACATCGAGGGAGAGTGAATGCTGAAGCTGTCACGGACATGTTTCACATGGAGTTGGTCTGTTCTGGACTGTTCTGTTCTGATCTGTTCTGGTCTGGAGACACTACTGCGATATGCGGTTTAAGGTCCATGCTGTCAATGGCTCTGCTTGCTGAGGGAAATCTGTTGAATGCACTGCAGAACCCGCACAGGGAGTTGGTGGTCAGCCTCTTGTGCCTGTCCGTGGGCACTAGGCCTGACACCGCTTATTCCACAGGAGAGCCCGGCCCGTTACATGGCCAAGCTAACAAATGAGGATTGGCAGGGTGTTTTAACAGTATGTTGCTGGCACGAAGAGTGTAGGTCTCATGTTCCGTGGAAAGTCGGGTGCAGAGGCTTTGCATCGCTTTGCATGGCGACTGCTACTGCGACTCCGATTTTCGGTTGCGTGTGGACGCAAGGCGCTCCACCACCGGCTATATCTTCATGAACGCTGGCTGGCCCAACGATCCGGTAGAGTTTCATACGGTTGGTACGTCGACTGAAAAGGCTGAGTACATGTGAAGCAGCGCTGCGACGAAAGAGGCGCTTTGGTTCCGCCATCTGCCGCGTGATTTGAAGCTGCATGCCCGCCGATTATGACACGCGGGTCTGTCAGGGAGTTAATACTGTAGTCTCCTTCCCCCTGTTCCCGCATCCTTCATGGCAACAGAGCACAAAACTTTGTCTGACCTTTAATGGCAACGTGTGGCCAAAGTCTCTGTTTTGTTCTCAGTTAGCATCGTCAAACCCAAATCCGGACGAACCACTGTCTTCGCGTGTGTGCATGTGTGGAAGATTGAAAGTTCAAGGAACCGTGCTGTGGTGCAGTGCGCCTTTAGCAACTGCTAAGTATGTCTCCATAATACGCAAGCTGTCTCCCAAAAGCGGTTGGATGTGCGTAGATTGGAATGCTCACTAGTGAGCTTACAAGGAGGTCCCTGGCGCAGTTTTGCGGGTCTTCAATGAGCCAAGATGCTACGTGGTTGCTTCAACAAGTATTTGTGCCACGCTGACGGCTTTGCGATTCTGAAAGGCTTGATAGAATATAACGGCTACCGACTTGACAACTAAACGCGCAGCGGTCTCAACCTGCGTTGCGTTAACCCAGGCAAGAAGGGAAAGTTTGTTACATGATTCTGGTGAAAATTCGCGCATGCGAAGAAAATTAGCTGTTAGACCGTTTTCACACATTCACTGTGGCGTTGAAGGACATTTGGATGCCTAATGCAATCCACTGGAACACACCTTGCTTAGGTAGAAAAGTATCGCAGGCACTCCAGAATCACCGGAAAAGAATTCGCATTTTCATCATGGGCATGGATCTCCGCCGGCACCAAATACGACGCAACAGCCTGCACAAAGAAGTTTTCAACAAAACCTATCCTACCTCAAGGCGTGTAGGTTTCACGTAAATTAGATACTGCTTTATTTGTCGACGACTGCTCCGCTTCTGTTAACCGCGGCCACTTCCTTCCAAATGCCAACCTACCGTCCTACTCTTGAGCGCGTTCCAATTATCTCCAACATAATTATGTTGTATAGCAAGCGTCTGCTTTGTGGGGGCGGCTCTACGTGATTGACCGGGAGCCCCCTTACCGGCACGCAGTTTGTCTTTTGGCAGCAACAGCCAAGTACAGGCAGATAGAATTATTATTGCACTTAGCACATAAACATGTCGTTTTTGAACCCATCAGCGCCAGAGTGGAAGCCTGTGTCCGCTCCTCGGGCGGCGGCACCAAAAGGCCAAACGTCAAACGATGGGCGCAGCAGCCCTGACAGCACATCAATTCAGAAACCTCAGCCCAGCCTGGGGTTCGGGCCAGCTTCCGCTTCCACAAGACACGCGGACGATTTTCCCGCTCTCGGCGCTGCATCCCAGGGAAGCGGTAACAGCAAGAACGCTAACCGCGAGTCAAGCGTAAGGTCCTGGAGGAAAGTGGCATCGGCCAGCGGGACCGCCAACGGGCAGCCGCAGGCAGCCGGAAGTTGCGTATCGGCTGCCCCAAGCAGCGCCGTGCCGCCGACTTCGCAGCCAGCAAATGCCTGGCCCCTTCCCGGCGAGGCGGCAGGACCTGCCAAGTCCATCGCATCCGGCGCTCCTCAGCCACTTCATCACGGCACGCAGCAGCCACAGCCTCCGCAGCAGCCCGTTCAGCAGGCGGCACGTGCGCCGCTGCAATGCCAAGGGCCCAGCGGTGGTGGCGGTCGTGCTCACGTCAAGTCGCAGCAGCCTCAGCAGCAGCATGGCCCACAGCACCAGCCGCGAGCCGCCCATCACCAGCCGGTTGATTCGCCCCAACAACAACAACAACACCAGCAACACGACCATAACCACCGCAATCAAACCCACAACAACAACAACAATAAAAGCAATCAGAGCCAGCAGCAGCCCCAGAACCAGACTGGCAGGCACGCTCCGAAGCAACACGACGGCGCCGTGGCGGCGGTCGGCAGGGCTCTGGGCCACGGCGGCGGCAGCGGCGGCGGCAACAGGGTGGCGGCGCCACAGCCACAGCCTCCGCCACCGAAGGGCTCTGTGCCGGCGGCTGTAGCCAACGGTTTCTGTCCCTCCCCGGCGGCTGTGGCAGCCTTCCGCGGAGCCCAGGGAGCGTCCGTACAGGCCGTACAGGAAGCCGGCGCCACCCCGCCTCTGTCCATGCGAAAGCAGGGCTCCCTGAGGGATCTCCTGCAGGCGCAGCAGCAGCAGCAGCAGCAGCCAGTACCGACGCCGCCGCCGCCGCGACCAGGACCGCGTGCAGCAGCCGCCGCGGCAAGCACCACACCGTTCTCTTCGGCCTCAGCGCAGGCGCAGACAGGTGGTGCTGGCACGCCAGCCGCAAGCCGCGCCGGCGGTAGAAAGACGACGTCGCCACTGACGACGGCGCTTGACGCTGCCGGCGCGGCGGCGACGGCGGCGGCCGCCTCTGCCGCTGCTCGCGCCGCACTTTGCTCCTCTCCAACTCAGTCCGCAACGGCGGCGGCGGTGACGGCGGCGGCAGCGTCGAGCCCCATTCCCGCTCCACCGAGCATGCAGCTGCATGGTTCACCTGCTGCGATGGCGGCTGCCGCAGCCGCCACAGCTGCCGCGGGCTCCGTACACACGCCGTCCCAGCCCATCGCCATCCGCAGCCGCGGCAGCCGCCAGCAGTTGACCATGGAGAAGGTCATGGAGGCGGAAGACGACGAGGAGCGCAGCCGCAGGATTGAGAAGCGCAGGGCGGAGAAAAACGGCGCCGCGGCGGCGGCGGCGGCGGCGGCGGCCTCCGCCGCGTGCGGCAACGACGCAAAGCCGCCGCCTCCACTCGCCGAAGAAACCATGACCTTTGAGGAAGGTTTTGACACGCATAGTGTCCCGAGTCGAACCAGCTCGGTAAGTGACGAAGAGGGCACTTGAAAGAAAGAAAGAAAGATAGATAGATAGAACGATAGAACGAACGCACCTGGGTGCCGCCGTCAGTACCATCCGTCAGCACCAACACCAACACCATCACCGACCCTGCGGTACGGCATGTGTTTTCTTCTCTCTCCCACTCTTGCAACACCCCGCAGCTCGCAAGCCGTCCCAGCTTGGCGCCCTCGGAGAGCGGCGGCATCAGCGCGCAAGCAAGCGGAGAGCAGCAGGACCCCGCGGCCGCGGCGGCGGCGGCAGCCGCTGTAGCGGCGGCTGTCGCCGCCGCCGCCGGCGGCACTGGCGGCAATGCCGCCGGCTCTGGAACCTCCGACGTATCCACCTCCGGCGCCACCACCACCTGCACCGCCACCGCCACCTCAAACGGCAGCGGCGGCGACGGTGTCGCTGTCGCCAGTCTTCGTGAGGCGCAGGCGGAGATGTACGGCGACGGCCCGGTTACGTGTCCTCCCCTGCAGGGCGTGGAGGAGGCGTCTCAGCGCGCGGCGGCAGTGGCGGCGGCGTCCCACGTGGCGCCGTTTGTCGTACCATCCGGCAAGGTAGGAGGTTATTTAGAAGGCAGGAAGTACAATTTAAACTCCCATTGCCACTCTCCCGCTTCCAACCACTCCAACCGCTGCAGGTCGGTCCCCAGGACTTTGAGATGCTGCGGGTTGTGGGTCAGGGCGCCTTTGGCAAGGTGTTCCAGGTGATGCACCGGGCCAGCAGGACGGTGTATGCCATGAAGGTGATGAGGAAGGAGCGCATTCTGCAACGGGACCACAGCGAGTACGTGCGCTCCGAGCGGGATCTGCTCACGGCGGTCGTACATCCGTACATTGTGACATTGAGGTTCAGCTTCCAGGTAGCATTCCTTGGCCGTCGTGGTGGTGGGGGCTGGGCAGGGAGGGTGTGGAGAGGTGGGGTTTGCGACCCCTCCGGGCTGGGGTTGGGGGGGAAGAGGCGAGGTGGGTGGGTCCTTGTACGGAGCACCTTCGTGTGGTTTTGTTTTGTCGCATGTAATCTCGGGGTCCCCACGTACGTACGTTCATACATGCATACATACATGCATACATACATATCAGGCAGGTGGCTGGCAGAAGTTAAGGCGTGACTTCTGCTCCCGGAGGGTCCGGGTTCAAATCCGCCTGCCCGCCCCACGTACATACATGCATACGTACATACATACATACATACATACATACATACATACATACATACATACATACATACATACATACATACATACATACATACATAATACTCCTGCACAGGTACCGCCGTTCACTGTCTTTCGACCATCTCCCCGGGGTCCTCTCCACACAAAAACACACTTAGAGTTGCGTACGTCATGAACCACACGCGGGCCCCGCAGACCCCCACAAAGCTGTATCTGGTGCTGGACTTTCTGAACGGGGGCCACCTCTTTTTCAACCTCTATCGCCAGGTGAGGGAGGGGGGGAGGGAGGGAGGGGGGGCCGAGGGAGGGAGGGAGGGGGGAAGTGGGTGAGCGAGGGAGGGAGTGTGATCTAAGCCGTTGCTGCTGCAGCTGCGGCTGTTGCTGCTGGGTATGTGCTTTCTGTTGCTGTTGCGTGTACAGCAGCGACTGCGACTGCGCCCAAAGGTCTCTGCGCCTTTTGCTGTGTTTGCATGGGGTTTGTGTACTGCTCTGTCTATTTGTTTACCTAATTGTATGTATGTATGTCGGCTGCTCAGGGTGTTTTCAGCGAGGACGTGGCCCGGCTGTACACCGCGGAGATCGTGTTGGCCATCAGCTACCTGCACTCCCAGGGCATCGTGCACCGGGACCTCAAGCCGGAGAATGTGCTGCTGGACAGGTGGTGCCGGGGCTTGGGGTGCCGGGGCTTGGGGTGGGGTGGGGTGGCTGGGGGGGGTGTGGATTGCGGGTGGGTTGGGGGGGGGTTGATGATGTAAATGGTGCTTGTCTTGCCGTTAGCTCATAACTCCCCCCGAGCGCCGTGTTTCTGTGTTATTGTCCGGGTTGTCAGTTATCATCACCGTACTTGACACTTGACACGTGGACGCACGCTTGTTTCGTCCATGTTGGACTTGGTTATTAGATAGCCTAGCAGGCTCTTACATGGGCTTTTGATTGGATGATGTGGCCTGTAAGCCTGTGATGCCTGTGAGCCGTGCACACCTAATTCCGAAGCGTGACTAGCTCAGGACGCAAAAGCACGACGCGAGCTTTACAATCATCTCCACCATCATCATGATGATAACCACCGTCACCATCGTCACCACCAGCACCATCGTCACCACCAGCACCATTATCCCTGCCGTCCCTCTTTCCTGCCCCCTCCCCCCCTGAGTGCAGTGAGGGTCATGTACGGCTGACGGACTTCGGTCTAGCCAAGGGCAACATGGGCGGTGAGACGGATCGAACCAACTCGTTCATCGGGACTATGGAGTACATGGCGCCAGGTGGGAGCTGTGTGTGTGTATGTATGTGAAGGGGGGGAGATGAGGTGGGGGTAGGGGGGGCGCATTGGGGTGGGGGGGAAGAGGAGGGGGATGGCCTGGGGGGTGTTTTTGGGGGGGGAGAGGGGGACAGGAGGTCCCTCTGTTGCACTGGCCTCGACTTTGGCCCCACCTCACCCCACCTCACCTCACCTCACCCCACCTCACCCCACCTCACCCCACCTCACCCCACCTCACGTCACCTCACCTCACCTCACCTCACTCTTAAGAGATATGTATGGACTCTCCCCCTCTCTCCCCCCCTTCTCTCTTTCTTCCCTCCCCCTCCCTCTCTGTGTGGCTGTGTGTGTGTCTGCTCAGAGATCATCGAGGCCAAGGGTCACGGGAAGGCGGTTGACTGGTGGAGCACCGGGTGAGTCCAGGAGTACGTGAGGTTTGGGGGGGTGGGAGGTGGAGTACGTGATGATGCAGGAAGCGAAGGTTAGCTGGCGGCGTGGCGAGGTGGGGAAGCGGGAAGGTGAGGGCACGAGGGTAAATTGTAGACGTACAGGGCTTTTTTGTCCGGTGTGTCCGGTGTATGCATGTATGTATGTATGGCGAAAATTTGTTGTTGGATCTTGTGTTCGTGTCAGTCCGCCTCTCTCCCGACAATCCCCCACGTACCGCTTCCCTCCCGCGCTCCCTCCCCTACGCCCCCTTCGCCCCCTCTCGGCAGCTGTCTTTTTGATTTTTGAATCATCGTCGCCATCACTGCGTACGAGTCTCACCTGCGTTTCTTGTGCCCCGGCCCCGGTGCCCCCAGCGAGAGGGTGTGTGTGGGTGTTTTTACCCAGTCCACAAACCCCTCTACCCTCTCCCGCTGACTGGTGTTTCCTCCCCCCCCTCCCGCCGTACAGTATCCTGATGTACGAGATGCTGTGCGGTGTACCGCCCTTCCGAGCGAAGAGCCGACAGGCGCTGCAGCAGCAGATCGCCTCGGGAAAAGTCAAATACCCCAGTAAGTAAGGAACACGTGCAGGCGTGTTTTGATACGGGAACCCTTTCCGTGAAACCGAGCGTTAATTGACCTGTGTACAAAATAAAAAGTTAAAGGATGTCCGCGCAGTAGCAGCAGCAGTAGCAGCAACAGTAGCAGCGGGAGTTAGTACCTGTTATTCGGAAAGGTGTGCGAGGACATGCAAAAGGGCCCAGGGGGGACGCGGGTCTGCTGTGGCACCGTGCCCCGGTTCTAACTTTGAAGAGAAAGGAGGTGTATGTGTGTGTGTGGGTGTGGGTGTGGGTGTGGGTGTGGGTGTGTGTGTGTGGACCTGTTTTTATATTGAACGACGCTGGTTGATTGCAGGTTTTAGTTACAGTTGATCGCTTAGTTTAGTTTTATGCAGTTTACACCTATTTTATTTCGGTAGAATTGTATTTTTCTTGTTTCTGGTCACTGCCTCCCAGCCCCTTCTACCCCTCTCGTTTACTTTGCAGACCGCCCTTTATACCGCGCCTCTGTGTTTGTCCCCACCTCCTCCTCCTGTGCCCCTCCCTCCAACCTGCCCTGGCCCCACGTTCCGCTCCCCCTCCCTCCCTCCCCCCCCTCCCTCCCTCTTCTTAGAGTTCTTGTCGTCGGAGTCCCAAAATCTTCTGAAGGGCCTCCTGACCAGGGACCCCGCTAAGCGCCTGGGCAATGGCCCCGATGGCTCCGAGACCGTCAAGAGACATGCCTTTTTCAAATCCATCAACTGGGCCAAGCTGGAGGCGCGGCAGATCGAGTCCAAGTTTAAGCCCAACGTGTCATGTCATATGGACGTCGGTGAGTGAATCTGTGTGTGGAGGAGGGGAAGGGAGGGGGGGGGGAAATGTGTGGCTATGGTACTATGGCAGTGAGGAAAGGTGCGGTGGTGGAGGGTTAGAGCAGGAGGCGGGGGTGGAGAAAGGCGCTGGGGGTAGGGAGAGCGAGGATACTAATTGTGTCATATGCATAGTAGTCGCCAGCAGGGCCACCAGCACGGCCAGGACTTTTATGGATAGGCTAGGAGACCTTGTACCTCTCAACATTGTGAGAAGATTATTTTTGATATGTTTTTAATATCTTCGAATATTCGATAAAGCGGCATTATTAGCCTACAGCGCACGTTGCATTTACACATCGGTAAGGATTTCTCTTCTCCTCATACCGCCGCCGTTTCCGCTCCTTACACCGCAGCCAACTTTGACAAGATCTGGACGGAGCAACCCGCCGTGGACTCCCCCTGCGGTACGCCCACCGTCGCCTCGTTGGGCAAGTTTGAGGGGTTCACGTACGTGGAGCCGTCCTTCCTGGCCAGTCAGCACGGCGCGGCGTCGGTGGCGCAGCTGGCGGTGGTGGCGGAGGCGGCGGCGGCGGCGGAAGCACCCGCATCGTCGTCTTGAGAGGTTGATGGACAACCAACTACATATCGGTAGCAGTCGCAGTAGCGCATTGTAGCAGCTATATCGCTATGTAGCAGCGGAGGATATGCTCTGTGGGTCCCTACCATACCCTGCCCGGAGAGGCCGTTGCGACTTGCTGGCTGGCAACTATTGGCGACTGGGGCTTGGCGACTGCGGCGTTTAGGTGGCGAGGTGTTTGTCGCAGCGTTCGGCTGCTGAGGTGGGAGGAGGAGGTGGTGCAGGAGTGGGGCCGGGCTGGAGCAGGTGATGATGGGGATGATGATGGTGGTGATGGTGGTGGTGATGATGATGATGGGGATGGTGGTGGTGATGATGATGGTGGTGGTGATGATGATGATGGGGATGGTGGTGGTGATGATGATGGGGATGGTGGGGGGGTTTCCGAAGGGGCGGAGAGTTGTTGTCTGTAGGCTGACGTGACGACGACCCAGCACCGGTGCCCCGCCTTCGCGGACGTTTGTGTGTCGGAAGAAAAAAGGAGGGAAGAGGGGAGGAGTTGTGGTGGCGGGAGGGGAGATGATGGAGGTGAGGAGGTTTTGACCGAGACAGAGCGGCATGTAGGAGGTTGGACGAGAGCGATTGCGCAGGGGGACAAGGCTGCTATTTGCGTGTATGTATATATGTGTGTATCTATGTATGTTTGTTTGTGGGTGTTTGGGGGGTTATGTGAGAACGGGGACGGGTTGAGCGGCTTTGTTTCATCCGTAAGGGGGTGGCTTTGGGGGTAGGATGGCGGTGGCCCACATGTGCCTAGCTGCATACAGGCGAACAAGGCCTTATACCGCTTCCACACATCGGAAGTGTTTTCCTTTTCGTCCCGCCTTTGGACTTCGGAGGGGCGGATTCCTTTCGCCTGGGACGAGCCGTTGTTGTGTCGCTCCTTGTTGCCGGGAGCTCCACCGTCATGTTCCGGATCGTTTATTCTGCGCCAGGATAATTCCCGCTGCGTTTTGGAAGTTAAGGCTCTACGTCGCTACGAGCCCTTGGGGCACATAGTTGAGAGAAGACCAAACCCTATGAATTTTATCAGGCATATTTCTTTTAAATGCACGCATTTATCGAGTACAGGGCGTCTATGTTAGTGTGTTTGGGGAGGATGTGCTCCCTTGCTGTGGCGATGGTTACTCGCTGCCTGCTGCCCAGTTGAGGCCCGTTGTTGGGAGGTGTGTCGTGGAAAGAGCAATGCCGTTATGAACCGTGGATCCCTTAGCTTTTGTGCGCAATAAAGGCCCGCAGCCCCACATGCCATGAGTCGCAGCGGCGGCTGTTTGGGGCTCTTGAGGTCATCATCGTTTTGGTGATTGGGCCTGGCTGTGCTGGCGCTGATCGGCGGTGGTGATGGTGGTGGTTGGCGATAATTTCTGGTTATTAGGGGGGCCGGGGCACAAGGCCGAATCGGGTGGGGAAGGATGCAAAAAGAGGTAGTAGGTATGATTTAGTTTTGCTGCGTTAGTTTCATCACCGTCATCATCGTCGTTGTTCTCATTTTCCCGCTGGCTGCCAAAAAGGGAGGGAGAGAGGGCTAGGTGATCGGTCAACACTGTCTTGCATTTGTATGGTTAGGATGACATGATGGATAGATATTTTGCCGTTGCGGTTTCGGGGCCGGGGTTTCCACGGGGGGTGCATGTCGTCATGTACGTTCGTTTCAGGATCTGTACGGTAGCAGTATGGGGGGAGGTTAGGATTGTTGTTTGCAATATGGTTTAGGTGATTTATAGTATTTCCCTTCGTGGGTGATGGTAGTGGTGGTAAGCGGTAAGAACTGGGATTGCTAAGAGGCGCGCTGTTTTTTTGTTAACATCCCTTTAGTAGTAACATACCATATTTATGATGGTCTACCACCGGTGGCGGTTATGCAAAGCTGTTGAGGTCGATGGTTAGTCCATACAAAAAACACGGGCTTTGCAACACAGAGAGTAAGAAAGAGCTCTTTCGCCACCATACCCCTGCCATGGTCCACCCGTTTCCTCCCATATTTCGCCCCAATGACCCGCACAGGCCGTTTCCCCTGCATGCATGTTGACACGCGTCTTGCTCATGCGGCAAGCGTCCGAGGACTGGATCTACATATTTGGATCCAGTTTAAAAAACGCCATATTGATCAGCAATCTTAAAACTCAGGACCTTTCATATAAGGGAATGTGCTGAGGTCTTCTCGCCCACCAATGCCAGCCTGCGGCATCCTGCGCCATCTGGCTTCAAGGCATCTACGGTACAACAGCGCGCCGTACGCTCCTCATCCTCTCCTACCTCCTGCCTGCCATCATGCCAGCCTGCTTGTCTATGCAATACCATATGGCGTGTATGCACACCTTTTACGTGGAGAATAACATAAAAAACTTGGATTGCGCTCCCAAGGCCGAACAGTTGATTGAATCGTTGGAAGTAAAGGGTGACGAGGGTCAAGATAACCATAACACAATTCGACATGTCAAGTCGGCCTGAGTCCCTTAGACGCACTACGTCCTGAACTCCAGTAGAACCACAGCACTGTGCTCGATGCGCCCATGTGTTTCAAATAGAGAAGCCTTCGACGCATTGGACAAGGCAGCACACGGCGTAAACCAGTACCCAGGCGTACACACTAACCACACCAAAGGAACACCAAACGAATGGTCGAGTAGCCACAGGAACTGCTGGTCGACGCATGTGCACCCACATAAGAGACAGAAACTAAACCCCATACACGCCCGCAGATCAGGATTTTTATTAACTATATAAAATCTCGTGCGATAAATCTGCGATAACCGATTGTGCACGCGAGGAGCCTCCTGAACTCAAGGCAGCTCGCAGTGTTTCCTCTCCCGTCGATTTCGTCCCTCCATGCCTGGGAATGCAGCCGAGTGTTTTGACGGTGGTTGGCTGGCTTCTCCTCAATGGGCCCATCAAAATGCTGCGTGTCGTGTCTCTGTGCTCTTTTCCCCCCTCCCCTAGAGAAGCCCCAAACAGGTGCAAGTATACGCATAGCACTGATTACGCTCCCATGTACAGCTATAGTGGTATATCACATACAATGCAACAACTCGGGCCCCCAAACAAGGATTGTACACTTTGAAGCTCGAAATCAAATGAAGGAAAGCACCGCGCGCACACCAAACGCACGGTAACATCAGAACTTTTGAAAGAGGCCATGAAAACTTGGGATGAGTAATGTCAGACCATTGCCCCGTTGCTTCCGCACCCCATCAGTGCAATCCAGTGCCAAATCCACTGGTCACGACACATGTCACGTACACGCCACGCAGGGAAGCATTGCTTGCGATATCAGTACGACGTCAGCCCTTTCCTCGGGTAGCTGGATCACGATCAGCGTCCATAATACAGCGCCTGCCGATTTCTGACCTTGCTTCCAAACTTGTCCCCTCCTCCCTCAACCCGGCCCGGCTCCCCTGTCCTACTCTGATATGACCCCATATGTATGTTGTTACAGGGTGGTTAACTTCGCCAGCGGCCCCCTTTCCCGGGGCAGTCCCTGCTCTCCCCTGCTAGAGGGGCACCCTAATCCGTCACCCCATCCGACTTCAGAATGTATTCGTTGAGTTCGGCAACTCACCACCAGCATCCAACCAAATCTAGCGGATCAACGGCGCATCAACTTAGTTCCTGGTCAGCTCGCAAGTTGATATTATCACGTCCTACACCGTCCATAAGATGGGGGGCCACCTCCCATTTCATCACTCCTCAAACACCCGAGGAGCCGGCAGGCGGATTTGAACCCGGGTCGACTGGGTCAACTGGGAGCAGAAGTCAGGCCTTAACCTCTGCCAGCCGCCTGCCTATATGAAGATCAACAGGATACCCCATATGAAGATCAACAGGACCTCGTTTCGTTCGCTATGACACCACAGCGCGCCCCCCCACACCCAGATAACCACCTCGCCAGCACCCCCTCAGCCTGCATAACAGCCGTCATGTAGGAAGCTAAGCAGGTGGATGAGGTGGGCCCGCGGGTAGGCTGGCGGAGGATTACGGCTCCAAGCTAGGTTCACCAAGCTAAAGGACTCATAGCCGCCACTGCCACGGCTGCTGCCGCAGCCACAGCCACAACTACCGTCCTTGGCCGCTTTGCAGCCGTAGCGCCAGTGGCACGCCTTCCGCGAACGGCAGCGTGCACACGGACAGCCCAGCCAAGCGCTTCTCCATCACCGACAAAGGCACCATTAACATGTCCACATCTGCCGGGCTGAGCAGCAGTATCCGGGCGACCTGGTCGGCGTCGCCGTAGGAGATGGCGTAGTCGCCGCGCCGGCCCAGCCGCTCCAGGCCGCTAGGGAAGACGATGCCGAAGTGGCCCTCGGAGGGCGGCAGGAAGCCGTGGCTGAGGTGCGTGATGGTGTAGGGCGGTCCGGCCCTGAACCTTCAGGTCGGGTTCGACGCAGAAAACACAAAGCAGGGAAGCAAGAAGAGCGATGGAATGAAGCGGAATCAGTTAAGGGGTGAGCTGGAATTCGCCTCGTTGCGGGGCTGTTGCTCCTTTCCTTAGGAGACTCCTAACTCCTTTCAAGCTCTGCGTCAGTTAGCGGAGGCCGCCGAGTGTAAGTCATCATACACATTGCACATCATCCTAGCCACCGTTCTGGCCATGCATCCTTAGCCTTGACTCCTAGACGTCTTCATCCTGGTAAGGCACTGCTGCCCGGTCAACAACGCATCGCCGGTGTTTTCCAATGTGCCCTCCACGCCTCCACAAGGCGTCCATACATCGGGTGCACCAATGCACGCAAACTCATTGGCGAGTGCACCTACCTGTACAGGAAGAGCCCGTAGTCAACATGGTAGTGCTTGGACAGGTTGCCACTTGGGCCCCTGCAGACACACAGAGGTTGTTAGTGTGCGGATGCGCAGGTTTAGGTGCAAGGGTTTGTGTCTTCGGATGTGAGTTCACAGGTTGCGGCAGCGGCACTCCAAAACAGCACCCACATCGCTGAACCGGGGGGGCTCCCCGCCGCCCCCCCGGCTAACCCCGCCTGCATGCACTGCCGTCGCTGTGCACAGCCGCACCGCTCACAAGCAGGTATTACCGGTATGCTTTGTGCGGCCCCATCACTCATGGGCGCCAAGGCCTTCGGACTGTCATATGAGCCCCGTCTGGGCCGAAACTCCGCACCTGTGGGATGTAGGCGGATTGCGTCCAGGTCCGGTTGCCTTCTCCGGCCCTTCCTCCTCCCAGCCCCACCGTCCCGAGCCCGACCTAGCTTCCCATTCACCCCGGATGCTACTCCCACTTTTTTAAGCTCATAGCTACCTGAACATGAATGTCTGGAAGGGGATGGCGCCCTTGAGGTGCGCGTCCAGTCTCAGCAGGTGTGCGCAGTTGAGGCGGACATCCTTGCCCACCACTTTGTCAAGTCCAGGGATTGATTCCGGGTGAAGGCAGCCCGGGTGCACACGCAGGTGCCCCACTGCTATGTAAGATTTGCCGCCAGGCTCCAAGATGGCTGGCGTGCCGCCCGATAGCTGCAGCAGGCGTCCAAAGGTCCGACTGAAGGTGGAAAAGAAGGTTTCGTTGGCGAACGAGTAGAAGCGCGCGTGCGGCATGGGATCCCTGTACGTTGACCAATTGAAGACGGAGTGGGGACCGAAGGGGCCATAGTGGGAGTATGACATCAACGAGGTGCCATTCCAGGGGACCCAGTTCTTGTCCCAGGCGAGGCTGTGATCGTAGCGCAATAGGCGTGGGGGCCCGAGCCGGGGGTCGCATTTGTTGGGGCCCGGCGTTCGGCGGCAGGTAATCATAACGCGGAAGACGGTATTGACGGACGCGCGTGCGCCCCCGTATTTCCCGAAGGGCAGGGAGAGGTAGAGAAATAGGCGGCCGTGCTGGTCATGGAACAGGCGGCCATCCTCGTAGTTGAACTCATTGAGGTAGCGGTAGCCTAGGACTGCCGCCGTGAAGTTGCCCGTCTCTCGGCGGCCCCGAAGCCGTATAACGGCCAGGAGGTTTGCTAACGTTCCGTTCCACGCGTCCATGAAAGGCGGTCGGTCAAGCCGACCGGGAATGCAACGCCGCTCTTCGTTCCGAGCGATGTAGACCCGCGCAAAGACGCCGAAGATATTTCCAGCAAGACGCGAAAAGGCAGGATTGAAGATACATGCGCCATCAGGAAGACCAGAGGCTCTTCGCAGGACCGAGGTAAGGTCTACGATCCCCCGCGCATAAGGTTGGCAGGATTCGTCGCTACAACGACAATACGGATGTGCTTCTGGAAATTGGAAACCAGCTAAATTTGATTCCGAAAAAGTGGCAGCAGCCCTTACAAGGATGAGAAGCAAATTCAAAGCCAAAACAGTCAAGCCCGCACCACGCATTTGAGTATGGTGCTAATGAAGATCAGGCCAGAACTGCAGAGCCACATTATTGCCAGTGTAAATTGAAAGCTCCCGATGCTACCATTATATGGAATTATTAATTCGTTTATACCTGTATCTCCTTAACTCGCGCTAGATGAAATACCCTGTAAGAAACTTCAATAGACTAAATCACGTTAAGCTGCATCTTGTTAAGGTATGGTTTGCAACTAAACATACCGGGTTGCCGCAACCTGGTATGTTGCGACCGGGGTTGCGACCGTATTCCTTTTTAATATTACAGTATTCCTTCCGACATATTATGAACCATCAGGCGTACTTATCAGGCTTATGGTGTATTGTACCACACCCGCGCTTTGACCGCCGCTATAGATTTGCTTTGGCGTAATGCCTCTTACAGTATTTTTTGTTAGAAACACTTGCAAAATGCAGGCGAATAACAAGAGTAGTTATTGGATCACAATTGACCGCTTGAACGGACTACAGCTGCCGCATGTGCTGTTCACAGACGACCGGCCCTATTTGCCTTTTATTGCCACTTACTAGCAGGAGTCGATTTCCTTGATGGTATAGTATTTTGTAAATCTGTTAGGCTAACAGATTTCCAAAATGGCTCCATGCTGTTGCAGCAACAGCATGGACCCATTCCTCCTCCGCATACACACCAAAGATGGTAACAACGATATCTGCAAAAACCACATAGCTACAGTGAGAGGCTTCCTCTCTGCTGGTGCGCTCTCATGTATGTCCAAACGCCATGGAAGCGTGAACACCCAGTTTGGGACCATGTTTCGCCTTCTTAGGCTCGGGACCATCATCCATCGCCTGTGAACGGGGGCTGTCTTCCATGCCTGCCACTGGTGTAACGCAGTACTTATATCCCAGGGAAATCAGCCCGAACGGTTGTGTTGTAGCGCGTTAGAGCGTTACAAAACTTAATCGCTGCGTGATTAAGGCACGACTTGATAAGACTGAGCTACGAACAGTCTACGAATATCTTAAAGAGTTCAGACGTGCTTCCTTACCAAGGAATGACACGCACTTGAGATACCTACAGACTCATCGGTTCGAGCAACCAATGTAGATCTGAAGAGACGTCGTACAATAGAAGTTGTTACGGCCTCCTAAGCAACGAGTACTTATACTCGGGAGGAAGCCTGGGATTAGAGATCAAACCAACAATACACCGGTGAGAGAGATCCCAGAAGCCTACGCTTCTGACGCTCCTTACTCAGAACAGAACCCAGTCCTTGACGGAGCGAATCCGTCCTGTAACCTGTCGGCTCTCGCCGCTATCACGCGCTAACAGGTTGACTTTGGGTTGGGGCGCTAGGGCGCCTGACAGCTGCACGGGCGGGGTCTGGTGACACTCGGGCGCTGGAACCTGGGTCCGGCTATGTCGGAATCTGGACGCACGATTGGAGCCGTGGCCTTGTGAGGGTATTACAGGGTTTACTCAGCCTCCGGTGTGATCCCTGGCCAGGCCATGCGGTCAGTCAAGGTCATGCATTCCCCAACCATGCTGTTTGAAATGTTCACAGCCCCTTGTATATAAACGGGCAATTCACCAGGGAGATGTACCTGTGGCATCCCAACACTCATTTCATGTACACACGCAGCACGATCATCCCGTATGCACCCGTTCAGTATCCCATCACTCTCCCCAAACAGGAAGTCGTAGATTAACCCTCAGTTCACTTGGTCTGACTCCTGTTAGACCCCCCACGCTCTCTCTGTAGCAAAGCCGCGAGCTTGGCACCCCTTCCCGGGCGTTGGCTCCGGCCGCCCATGTTCGCCGGCTGGCCAACCCCCGTTGCTTGCTCGCCGCCCCTGATCGGCTGCTCGCCGCTCCCGTTCGGCTGCACGGCGGCCCCGGTCTCCGGCTCGCCACCCCTGATCCGCTGCTCAAATTTTTGCAGACAGGCCCCCATTACCCTCACAAGGCCACGGCTCCAAGCGCGCGTACAGATTCCGACACGGAGTTCACGTCCTTAGGCCCATCATCTTCATCGGTGTCCGAACCCTCACCCGATGATGCATCCTCCTCACCCACGGCATTCACATCATCATGTATACGATCAGTGTAGAAATACTCCTCTACGGGACCTTCGTCTTGCTCAGGCTGCGTGTGGAGCAAGGGCACATGTTCTCTGGTGGCGGCGTTTTCCGCAGTATCTTTCTGTGCCTTCGCTACTATTTCTGTCTTCTTAATTGAAGGTTTTGGTTTCGATGGCTTCTTGGCTTCGGGCAAGTAAGGGTTGATACCGCTATACATGACAGCACGATTACGGCCCAGTACACATGAAAAACATTCCTTTATATTGGCGGACAGCACCGGGGTATGGATTACAGAGAAGGAACGGTTCGGGGAGTACGGTTTGCACCGTCGTTCATCATTATACCTGATAAGCTTGCAGCTTTTACAGCATCAGGACGTTTTAGAGCTGCTGAAACAGTACCAAACAAAATTGCACATTGCTGCGATGTTGACGGGGAGGGTTTACGTTCCCCGTGTGAGGCCTTGCGCCGTTCGTTTTGGGGTCCCCGTTCTATGACCCTCAAGTGCATGGGGACCGGTACATAACTCTTCTGGTTGCATGTCATGAACGTCATGATCAATACTGTTTGGGCGCTCCATGCGATGCGTCGCTTGCGTTGTTCACATAACGATGCACCTGTCTAGTTTTCTGCTAAACGCTAAGCTCACCACTGCCCCACCGGGGTTATAAACAAAGCAGGGATTGAGAAGGGAAGGACGTACCGACGAAGGACAGCCTCACGAGTAGGCCGTGAAGTTCAAAGTCAGCACGCTCAGTAGCGCTACGATGATTTGCAAAAAGTAACAAACAGAAACGCTTCGCGGTTCAAGAGCAGCTTACCCGCCCCAGAACCAAGCAACGCTCGTCCGTACATTGCAGAAAACCTCGGTTTTCTGCGCAAAACCCAGAAAACCTAGACGTTTGTTTATCTAGTCAATGGCTAAAAAATAAATAAATAGTAATCAATACAATAAAAAAAATAAAAAAATAATAGTATGTTTCTAGTTCGCTTGCATTTTTCGCCGTCTATCTGCTTTTCTGTTTACTAAGTCTAGCGGTCCATGAGCCTCCTGGCTCGTCTGGGCCTTGAAGCTTGAACAATCCACCCATCCATCCATCCATTCATCCATTCACCTATAAAATAAGTTTGACAGTTGGGGTATTCGTAGTAGTGACTCGTTCGGGAGCCTGCCTATCTCATGGAGCCTGTCTTCGGAAATCTTTCTCGCAGCTGCACGGGAAAGGAAGAAAGGAAACTCAGTCAACAAGGAATTTGAAAGTAATTGCTTGTAGTAAGTAAGATGCCATAGGCAAAAGGCCTAGCGAGAGCGGGCTCGCATCCATGTGTCGGGTTCTCACGCTGTTTGGACTTCCGATCGGTGGGACATCCGGTGAAAGTTTGGACTTCCGATCGGTGGGACATCCGGTGAAAGTTTCCGACAACTTTCCCAGTTGAAGAGAGTCATCCGCCCCAGTTCCACGAGGAGTTCCTCAGCGAGCCAATCGCTTTGTTCAACCGTTGTCCATCCAAGAAGCCCTTCTACCTCCTCTACTCTGTCCTGTCCAAACTGGCACTGCTAAGTTAAAGTCTGAAGAAAAGCCGCCCAGTTTCGATCAAGGTTCACTGGTTATCTCTTCAGTGGGCGCGGCGCTATTGATTGCCGCCTTTGATGTGCACTGTAGTGCTTCGAGTTATTTTAGGTCCTGTTGATCCACTTCCCGACGAGTCTGCAATCCTGTCCGATATGTATGAAAAGGCCTCATCCAAGTTGTACGCTACAGAAATTACAGCAAGTTGTACGCCTCAAAGCGCCACGAAGCCACGGTGCAGGGTGAGCACTACACCATGATAATTGCAAGAAGCCTTTGAGCGTAAGCTGCAACCATTGCGTCTTCAGTTTTCAAGCAGCATAGTACAAGGTTACAAGCTCCACGCGATAGTGGTGCATGGCTGTAGAAGCCGGGGGCGCATATGCAATTTGGTGCCAAGAAAGGTCATTGCCATCCATCCTTCCCCCATTCATCTGGGCCCTACACACCTGAAAACCACATCTGAAACCTCATTAAAAAACCTGCTCATGGCTAGGTAGTGCTCACACCCTCAGAAGCAAACGGAGGTGCGCCCATCACCAAAGCATCTCATGGAAACCAAACGCCTTCTTCAAAGTGTACCTGCATCACAAGAAGCTGCTAGACAATCGTTACTGACGTCCTTGTTGCCGCTTCACCTCATCCCAGCCTTCAATTTTTTGTGTACGTAAATACCCGGCAAGCAACCTTTCTAACCTTATCACATGATTGCGTACATACGCTAGGGATCGGAAATGCTCACACCATGTCTCCTCAACACCATTTACTTCAAGAATTGCATCAACAACAGATCACGGGATGCATGAGGTGTTATATCCGCGTGGTGTGTGGAACGCAGACGGGTAGCGCTCTGTAGAAAAGCCGCCAGCCAGACGCCCAACATCATCTGCACGCCAACACAACAGCAGCCAACCCACGGCGTTGCGTCGCATACTATATAACCCGCATCACTTTTGGAACAGCAAGTGTAGTAAGATACCGACAAGACAAGTAAGCCTGTCGCCGCAGGGCCCAAGAGATGATACTACTCGG